CTTTTCCCTTCTTCCCCTCGAGGAATTCTTGGACTTGAAAGAGGAGGATAAAAAGGACGCCAAGAAAGAGGAGGAGGAAAAAAGGCGGAGGTATCGCAAGATACCGAAAACTTTTGGGAATTGGCTACGGGCTTTTTGTATTCTGGCTAGCGTGATAGGGGAAAAGAACCCAGGGCGTTGCTCGGAACTTTTTTGCTACTTGGATGGGATAGGCGATGCATATCGAACATACGGGGGATTGGCGTGGTGGAGGTATGACGAGCAATTTCGACAACGGCTAGCGGTGAACACGAGCATGCGGTGGGATCAAATGGATCTGCCGTTATGGATGCGCCTTATGATGGCTCAAAAGGCTGCGCCCTTTCTTGGGACAGCCGGCACGGCCGCAGGGGGTGCTGTGTCGCCTGGGCAAAAGAAAGGCTTCTGCTGGATGTACAACGAGGGACACTGCAAGTGGGGGAATTCCTGCAGGTTCAGACACGAATGTTCCGGCTGCGGGGGGGCGCATGGCTCCAGCCGGTGCTTCAAGAAAGGTAAGCTTGGAGGGGGTGGGGGGTCCGGAGGGGCAGCGCCCCCCGCTGTTACCGCTGGGGGTGTCCCCAGTGAAAGTAGACGTGATGTTGCCTTGGCTAAGGCAGTACGCCAATAGGGCGGATGCGGTCTTTTTGTGGCAGGGATTTCGAGAAGGGTTTATTATTCCCTTCGTGGTTAGGGGACCGGGAACGAGGTGTGGTAATCTCAAGTCAGTCCGGGAGCACCCGGGGGTAGCGCGGGAGAAGTTGAGCAAGGAGGTGCAGCTGGGGAGAATGGCGGGCCCATTCTTGGAGCCGCCATTGGTCGACCTACGGATATCCCCACTCGGCGTGGTTCCCAAGAAGGAAGCGGGTAAGTTCAGGTTGATACATCATTTATCGTACCCAAAAGGGGCGTCGGTAAATGATGACATTGACGCGGCCCTCAGCTCCGTCTCTTATACGTCATTCGACAAGGCTGTCGAGTTGGTACGGAGAATGGGGCGAGGGGCGCTGATGGCGAAAGTGGATGTGGAGGCAGCCTTCCGGCTGCTCCCTATACACCCTAAATGCCATCATTTGCTTGGGTGCTATTTTGATGGGGGTTATTTCGTGGATCTGTGTTTACCAATGGGCTGTTCCATATCGTGCGCTTATTTTGAGAAATTTAGCACGTTTTTGGAATGGGTGGTGCGGAAGGAATCGGCAGGGGGTGCGGTGGTGCACTATCTTGACGACTTCCTCTGTATCGGCCCGCAGGGAACGGGCCGGTGTAGACAGGTGTTGGAAGTGTTTCACTGGATTGCGCACTCTTTCGGGGTTCCCTTGGCGGGAGACAAGACGGTTGGGCCCACAACGTGCCTTAGTTTTTTGGGTTTGGAAATCGATTCCGTGAGTGGCGAATGTCGGTTACCTTCAGACAAACTAATGGATCTGAGGGAGCGGGTGGCCACGGTAGGGAGGGCTAAGAAGGTGACGCTGCGGGGGCTTCAATCATTGGTGGGGAGCCTGAACTTCGCGTGCCGGGTGATACCAATGGGGAGGGTTTTCTGTAGGCGACTGGCACGTGCGACAAGTGGGGTGCGCTGGCCATCGCACTACGTTAGGGTCTCAGCGGATATGAAGGCGGACTTAAGGGTGTGGGACCGGTTCCTACAGGATTTTAATGGCAAGGTGTTCTTTAGGGAACCGGCGGCGGCAGCAGAGGTGGGGCTGTACACTGACGTGTCGGGCAGTGTCGGTTTTGGGGCTTATCTTGCGGGTAATTGGTGCGCTGAGGAGTGGCCTGCAGCGTGGAAAGAAAGCCCGCTAATAAGGAATTTGGCGTTTTTGGAATTATTTCCGGTCGTGGTTGCGATGGGTTTATGGGGGCCGGCGTTGGCAAACAGGCACATCGTGTTCCACTCGGATAACATGGCTGTGGTGCAGGCGATAAACAGTTTGTCTGCGTCTTCCCCCCCGGTCGTGTGTTTGTTGCGGCGGTTTGTATTTCTTTGCATGTCCTTCAATGTGGTGTTTAGGGCTAAGCACATCCCTGGTATGTTGAATGTGGTGGCTGATGCACTTTCTCGTTTTCAGTGGGAACGATTCCGGGAAGCGGCGCCGGACGCCCAGGAGATGGGGCAAGCATGCCCGGACGAGATGTGGCGGCTCGGGACGTCATGCTTGGGGAGTACATAAGGAACTCATAGGCGCCAAGCACGTGGTCGTCTTATGTTAAGGTTTGGAAGGAATGGGAGGAGACTGTTCAACAGGTAGGAGGTGTTTTTTCGGAGGGGCAGCGGGGGGACGTGCTGCTATGGTTGCTGTGTCGCCTGTTCTCAAGACAGGCTTCGCCGGCCATGGTGGACAGGTATATGTCTGCCCTGGCCTTTTTATTTAAGTTCAATGGTTGGGAGGACATTACTAAGAATTTCATGATACGTCAGGCGATACGAGGTTTTCGGAAGGGTAAGAAGTTTGGGGACACGAGAAGACCGGTGTTGTTCTCGGTGTTGCAAGGGTTGTTAGGAGCGTTGGCTGGGTTGTGTCATTCCCCTTTTGAGGTGGCGCTATTTTCGGGAGCGTTTGTATGGGCGTTCTTCGGAGCCTTCCGGATTGGCGAGCTGGTGAGCCCCAACAGGAAAGGGGCCGGCGGATTGCTGCTCGACGACGTGGACTTATGCAACGACAGGGTGCGGATCAGGTTGCGCCGCTCTAAAACGGACGTGTTTGGTAAAGGGTGCTCTGTGGTGTTGTACGAGTTACAGAGTTCAAGGGCGTGCCCGGTGGCTTGCGGGGCGCGGTACTTGGAGGTCCGTTCCGGGATGGCTGGTAGTTTTTTCCTGCACGCTGATGGGACGGCGCTGTCCCGCTTCCAATTTCTGCGGGTTTTTCGAGCGGGTTTACAGAGGCTGGGCTTGGAGCCCAAGCAATTTGGAATGCACTCGTTCCGCATAGTCGCAGCGACGGAGGCAGCACGCCTAGGTTTGGGGGACGAGCGGATTAAGCGGATCGGGAGGTGGGAATCCATGCGGTTCCGCACGTATGTGAGGCCTGACAGGCTGGTGTAAGTAAGCGTTGGTTAGGAAATTGGGATAGGGGGGGGGCATTTGTCTCCTCGCAACTAATTTTATTTCCTTTCAGGTTTGAAAGTTTGGTTGATGGGACACTCGTATGTGTACTGGGCGCAGAAGAGAGCCGCAGTTCGAAGATGCGGAACGCAGCTGGGCTTTCCTTTGGAACGAGTGGAATTATCATGGCTTGGTTTGAGGGGCGCTAGCTGGCAGGGTCTCTGCAGCGCGTTATTTAAAAAGTTGTCGGGGGAGGCGGTCCCAGACGTGGTACTGGTCCACGGAGGTGGGAACGATCTGGGCTTGATTCCTCAAAGGTTACTGGTTCGGAAAATGAAGAGGGATATGGATCGGCTGAGGGAGCTGGTTCCTGGCGTGGTCGTAGTTTGGTCTGAGATGGTGCCTCGCTTTACGTGGAAACACGCCAGGGATCCAGCTGCAACAGCTCGATCTAGGGGTAAGGTCAAAAAAATTATGTCAGTCTTTATTAGACGGTCGGGGGGGCGTGGTGGTGAGGCATAGGGAATTAGAGGGTATGCTGCCGGGATATTTTAGGAGGGATGGTATTCACCTATCGGATGTGGGGAATGATTTGCTGAACCTAGGTTTTCAGGATGGTATAGCACAGGCCCTGTTTAGATATGGTGGGGGTCGCACATTAGCTTAAGGGGGTCAAGCCATGTGCTGTGGCGGAACAGGGCGGTGTATATATTGGAACTTGCGTGGAATTTGAAATGGACAGGCCGAGGTTTAGGCCGGATGGAGTTAAGGATTGGTTGGTTCTAGCTCTTTGGTGGCTACGAACCTGGGGGTGTAGGGATGTCCGAGGTATACCCCTACAGTTAACTGGACGATATGGGGCCTCTTTGGTAGGCCGTGTGTTTCAAGTTATATGTTATTTGTTGTTATTTATTGTTTAATTGCTAGGGTCATTGTCAGGGGTACTGTGTGGGGGTATAGTAACATAATGTCTAGTAGGACAATGACCCTAGATTATGTTAATTTATTATAATTAATTAATAAAGATGTGGACTTTATACTCCAACAGAATTATCGGTGTCAGTGTTTTATTTAAGTGTAAGGGGTAGCACATGCCGAATAACGACTGTGCAAATGTCATGTGCAAATAGGCTTACTGACAGACAAAACTCTCTGACTCACACACAAGCTTACTACAGACAAACTCACTTGTATAAACAGAAGGCTCACTACAAAGAAGTTCAGGGACACACACAAGCTCACTAAAGACAAGCTCACTGACACACATGCTCACTAAATAGAAGCTCACTGACACACACAAGCAGTACCATTTTAACAGAGTTAAGGGCCCCTGGGCAAAGCAATGCACTGGGGCCCTTCCTACACAACAACTCACAGGAATTTTAATTATTGATAGACTGCTGAGACCATGCACACACACAGACTGCTGAGCAGTGGCTGATCCAGAGCCTGAGCTCGGGAGGGGCACTTGTAGATTATTTAAAGAAATAATCCAGACACAATAACCACTACAGCTCAGTGTAGTGGTTATGGTGTCAATAGTGCCGGGACCCCCTCCCAGAGTAAGTAGTCAAACCGTTTAAGAACAGTTTGACAACTTACCTGAGGTCTGCTGGGAAATGGGGCTGTAGTAGGGAATAGGAGCAGTGGTGTGTGTGAGTGGTGCAATGTGTAAGGGGTGCAGTGTGTGTGTGTGTGAGCAGTGTGTGTGTTTGAAGGTTGTAGTGTGTGAGTGAGGGCGGCAGTGTATGTCAGGGATGCAGTATATGTGTGGGACAGTATGTGTGTGAGTGTGGGCAATGTGTAAGGGGTGCAGTGTGTGTATGGGGATAGTGTATGTGTGTAGAGTGTGTGTGTATGGGGGAGCAGTATGTGTGTATGGCGGGCAGTGTGTGTGTATGGGGGGCAGTGTGTGTGTAGACTGTGTGAACACCTCCCTCCCCCCCCCAGCCTACCTGTCAGTGGAGGCTGTTGCTGGGGGTCAGGCAGCCATCTTCTGCAGCAGCATGGTCGGCTGCTTTATGGCAGGGGTGGGGCTTATGTGCAGGAGGCGGGGCTTCATTTGGGGGCGGGCCCTGTGCCGAGGAGCCTGTCAGTGCTCACTCCAGCCACAGACAGCCCCCAGCAGCTCAGTCCTGCATTTCCTCCCCGGGCTGTCACAGGCTGTTACAGTCCGAGGGAATATAATTGAAGCCCATGGCCAGCAAGTTGCCGGCATTTGGGGGGGCCCAAGAGGGGGCACAGCATGATGTGGGGGGGCCATGGCCCCCTCTGGCCCCCCTCTAGCGACGCCACTGGGTGACGTAACAAGTGTACATTTTGCATATGTGTTTGTGTCAGTATGTGTGTGTTAGTGTGTAATTGTATGTGTCAGTATGTCTGTCAGTGTGTGACTATGTGTCAGAATATGTGTCTGTATCTGTATGTTGTTAATGTGTGTATTTATGTATCTGTATGTTGTCAGTATGTGTGTCTGTCTTTCAGTATATGTATCCAGGTATGTGTTAGTATATCTGTCAGTATATGTGTCTATATCTGTATGTTGTCCATACGTGTATCTATGTATTTGCATGCGTGTCATGTTCTGTAGCTTTGTGTCTGTAACTGTGTCAGTGTGGGTATTTGTGTGCCTGTATGTGCATGTGTGTCGGTGTGTATATAGTTGTAATCAAAATTATTGTACAATGTGACCTGTTCCCAAATCATTACGGACTCTTTGTTTATTTCTGGATTTGATTACAATTACACTTAGCTCTATAGCTCCAACATATTCCAGAGCTCTGTACAATACGAGGCAAGACAAACAGTCAACTCTAACAAAACATGTATGACAAACGGGAACAGTAGGTTAGATGGCTTTGCAAAAACAAGCTCACAAACTAAAGTGTTGATGGCCAAATACATTAAGGGAAGTGAGGGCATCAACAGATTTAACTGTAGTCGAGAAAGGGAGTGCTGTTCGGGAGGATGAAGCACAGTAGGTGGGAGAAGGTAGAGTTGTTGTCGGGAATGAGGAGTTAAAGGACCACTCTAGGCACCCAGACCACTTCAGCTTAACGAAGTGGTCTGGGTGCCTGGTCCAGCTAGGGTTAACCCATTCTGTTATAAACATAGCAGTTTCAGAGAAACTGCTATGTTTATCAATGGGTTAAGCCTTCCCCCAATTCCTCTAGCGGCTGTCTCATTGACAGCCGCTAGAGGCGCTTGCGTGATTCTCACTGTGAAAATCACAGTGAGAGCACGCAAGCGTCCATAGGAAAGCATTGATAATGCTTTCCTATGTGACCGGCTGAATGCGCGCGCAGCTCTTGCCGCGCGTGCGCATTCAGCCGCATGGGAGGAGAAGAGGAGGATCGGAGGAGGAGAGCTCCCCGCCCAGCGCTGGAAAAAGGTAAGTTTTAACCCCTTTCTCCTTTCCAGAGCCGGGCTGGAGGGGGACCCGGAGGGTGGGGGCACCCTCAGGGCACTATAGTGGTCCTTTAAGGAGAAATCTGATAGGCATTTCTAAAGAAGTGTTTCAGGGATTTTTCTAAGAACTGCAGAGACAGGGAGAGTCAGTTGTCCTGTAGCAAGGCATTCCATAAAGAGGCTTCAATCCTGAAAATATCCTTCAGGCGAGAGTATGGGGTGTGGGCAGAGCCGGTGCAAGGATTTTTGGCAACATAGGGCAAGATACATTTTGCCACCCCCCTTTTTAAAAAATGCATCTTCACCTGGGTGTCTGGTAACCAGACCCTTTGTGTATCTTTCTTCCCCCCAGCCCTTTGTGTGTCTCTCTCTCTCCTCATCCCCTTTTATGTGTCTAATATAAGGTTATTATAAAGCAGGGTTGCAACAGTAAAAACAAAACAAAAAAAACAGAGTGGAGTGGAGAACATTTTGGAAAAAGAGAAGTAGGAGTGGGAGTTAGGAAATGGATGGAGAGACTTTGGTTAGAAACACACAGACATAAGGATTTTGGAAGTGGTTGAGTAAATATGGGGTGCTCTAGACTTTAATGTGAGACTGCAGAGATATCCGGGAGAATGAAGAAGAACTTTTGAGGGCCGAGTCTAATATCCGCTGCTCAGCATCTTATCAGGAGCAAATCACCTGTTGGAAGGTGTGTTTACAGATACAATGGACATGGAGAGGCAGGGAGGGTAGCATTACAGTAAAAGTATATCTGCGGTGTGACACAGAGAGAGAAAGTCAGGGAGGAGGGGGTCATAAAATTAGGCAGTGTTGATTGTCATTGACCTGGAACAGGCTCAGAGCTTTCTTTGTTGAGTTACCAGAGATAAGCAAAGCAGGAGACAATAGTAAATACCTAAAATTATCCCAATAACAGTGAAATAGAAAAACAATGCAGAATTGTTACTCTCCCATTAAATAAATTCAACTGCTGTGCTGCCTCTTTGATTGGCCCCAATTTGCATTCCTGTATCATTAGGTAGTTACCCCGCTGTGTGACCCAGTCAGGAATCTCTCATTCTACATTCTGTTCCCTGAACCGTGACTTAATAAAAATAAACAATGCCTCTCTTACTACACATCCCCCATACATAAAGCAAGGAATTATATTAAAATGGTCAGAAACGTATTAATACAATGTAATTATCAACTTCATAGATTAAAATATATATTATTATGATAAGGATATTTCCATTTTTTTTTGTAAGGTTCTTATAGAGACAAATTGTTTAGCTCAAGTTTAACCCTTTGCAGTTGATTTAATAAACCGAAGATCTTTGTTAGTATGACCTCGTCTAATGTTTCCCCGTTTACACTGTAATGTTACCGAAATGACCTTATTTCATATGCATTCAAGGGAACAGACAAAAAAAAACAAAAAAAAACACACCATGGTTTAGAAAGACCAGAGTAAAGAATTTAAAGAAAAAAAAAAAATCTTAAAACATTTTGACTAAAATTAAAATTTACAAAGGAGTTGACCATTGTGGCCGCCAGTTCTGTCTTGCACCAGGAATATGGGGGTCAGTGCTGGAGATGATATACGTTTTAAATTTAACTGGTTTGAGTAGTCCACCAATAAAATGATTGTATTTTAATAAAAACCATGGCATTCATATATTACAAACGGCAAACGTGAATTAACTTTTTGATGATGAAGTTGAGATATTGAACTAGATTTATAATGAAAGTAATATCAAGGGCTGGATGTTTAAGGGAATTGTGAAATCCATGCTCAGACATTGATTCCAGTTCTGTGAGATAAAACCTCGATTGGAATTGTAAATGATGGTCAAGCAGATTGCAAAGACAAAGAGTCCCTTTTCAGAAATTTCAAGTTTATAGGTTTGTGAGGGGCCAGAACAATCCTTGCCATAGCTTTAATCTCTCCACTACTGGGATCCGGCTTAACCTCATACTTCTGCATTATCTGGGGAGGCAAGAAGAAACTATTAAAACGAGAAATAAAATCATACTATGATTACCTCCATACAACAGAACAGAGTAACGTGTAATGGAAAAGTGTCCTACACCAGGAGCATCAGTCTAATGACAGCAACATTACAAATCTGCCTCTTGCTCTCTCCTAATGGGGCCGCACTCCACTCTCACCACCAGCTCTGCTACTTTCCCATCTTATTGTTTGTTTGATGTCTTCCTTGAAGTACTTTCTATTGTGTTTGGTACCCCACCTCCTCTAGACTGTAAGCTTGTCTGTGCAGTGCCCTCTTCATCCTATTGTTCCTGTAACGTTTTGTAATAGTCTCATTTATTAGCAAATTCCCCCTATTATTATAATGTAAAGTGCTGCCGAATAAGTTGACGCTCTATAAATACCAAATAATAATGATAATAATAATAATTCCAACTCGAGTGCAGCTAACTAGTTAACTAAACGGTCTGTAACAGGCGCAGATTCCATCAGTGATCGTACAATTCTATTATCAGAAGTCAGATCAACAATCCCTATTTAGTGCTCATGACTATTTACTAAGTTACTGTGCTGCTAAATGCTTAGGTTTTTGGTCAGGAGTTTTTTTTAGTGCAGATCTATAACATACCGCAAGTGATGTCAAAGTGTCACAGGCCCCGACTCGCCGCCCAACCGACATGTTCTGGCTATTTCTGACTATTCTGATTTCCCTGTCTTGGCTTGTTTAACGATATTGTATATTTCTGGCTTCCTTGACCTCGGCTATCCCTTGACCATTCCTTGTCTTTAACGTATTAGTCTGGCCATTCTAAGGACCGGTTTGTCTATGTAGATGTTACATAGTTCTGCGTGCTAGACCACACTAGCTGTCGTGACACTAAGATTCTGTACTTTCTAGTTTGAAAGCTCAATTTACAATCTCAGGTGTATTTTCTAAAACCTTAAACTTTTTCTGGGAGTTAACATGGAAACTACTCCATCCTTAAACAAACCACAAGCACCCCCTTCTCCCGTGACTGACAGATAATGGACGGTATTTGAAGAGCATATTTTCATAACTAAAATCATCAACACATTCCGGTTCAGCACATATTATGACTCCACAAATGGATCGTATCATAGCGCACACTTACCCGAGATAACGCCAAGTGCATTTCCAGCTCTGCTATCCGCCGTCCCACGCAGGCTCGGACGCCATACCCAAAGGGGATTGAACTGAAAGCGTTATTCTTTACCCGCTGTTCACGGAACCAGCGATTAGGGAGAAATTTGTTTGGTTCAGGAAAATTGTCCTCTTCTCGAGCTATGACATAGTGACAGAGAGCGAAGAGGGTCTGCAAATAGAAGTCAGAAACACTTCAGTCAGAACTGGGGGGCAGCTTGATTCACACATTAAATCAAGGGATTTCTAAATACAACCAGGCACATTCATGTTAATTTAAGGAATCTCCCAAAAGATGGACAACTCCTCATGACAAGGTCCACAATACAATACAAACAGGGTGAAACCATCGCTAGTGTGGCTGCATGTAGATCTGTGTGTCTTTGTATCTGTATCTTTGGTTCTGTATGTGTGTCTGTGTTTTGATGTGTGCCCCTGTGTATCTGTATGTCAGTGTTTGTAACTGTGTCATTGTGTGTATCTGCATGTGTGTCAGTATCTGTATGTATATCTGCATGTGTGTCAGTGAGTGTGTGTCTGTGTATCTGCATGTGTGTATTTTACGTGTGTCTGTACCTGTGTATCTGCATATGTCTCTGTGTATGTCTACACAAACACACCGTGATAGCTGGGCCCCCCAGAAAAAATTCTTTCACCAGGGCCCTGTCTACACCTATATACACACATACATACACACACATTTTAATAACATTTTTATTGAGTAGTCAGGTAATACAATGAGAGCCAGATATAAAATACATCAGCAATAACAGTAGATACATTTTAGATGTCCCGTTATGAGGTACATGGTATCAGTTGGTATGTTGTAATTTCTTGCCCAAGAGTCACAGCTTTGTCAGTGATATTCCTGGTATATAAATTGATAAATAAAAAAAGATTTAAAAAAAATACATAGGATCAGTAGTAGATGTGAGTATAGGACACTTATCAAGGGAAGCACTCAGGTCAGGGAAAGTTAAAGGATCACTATAGGGTCAGGAACACAAACATGTATTCCTGACCCTATAATGTTAACACCAACATCTAGCCCCCTGGGCCCCTCATGACTCCATAAATATAGGAAAATCTTACTATATTCAAGCCAGAATCTGTAACTCTGCATGCTGTTTGACTCAAAAAAACAAGCAGTCTGCTGACATCATCAGAAGTGGTAGCCTGATCCAATCACAGTGCTTCCCCATAGGATTGGTGGAGACTGACAAGGAGGCAGATCAGGGGCACAGCCAGCATGATTCAAACACAGCCCTGGCCAATCAGCATCTCCTCATAGAGATGAATTGAATCAATGAATCTCTATGAGGAAAGTTCAGTGTCTGCATGCAGAGGGTGGAGATACTGAATGTTTGGATGCATTTTAGGCAGCCATGACCCAGGAAGGATCTCTAACAGCCATCTGAGGAGTGGCCAGTGAAGTTATCACTAGGCTGTAATGTAAACACTGCATTTTCTCTGAAAAGACAGTGTTTACAGCAAAAAGCCTGAAGGTAATGATTCTACTCACCAGAACAAATTCAATAAGCTGTAGTTGTTCTGGTGACTATAGTGTCCCTTTAAGTTTTCCATGCACTTATTTACTCAGCTACGGGTGTGAGTACTATGGTGTCTCAGGGTGTAAGAGGCGGTGGGGGCAACTCCCACTGACTCTACTACAACTTCAGGGGAGGAGTTCCCTATATGGGTGGAGTTAATTCCATTCCCTGGGCCAGTCCGATTAGATAAGTGAATCCATGGCTTCCAAATAAGGACGTGCTTATCATGGGAATTAGAGGAGTAAGCAGTGAGTTCCTCCATTTTTCAGAGTTCCTCCACTCTTTGAGTCCATTCAGTCAGCGTTGGAATCTGGGGGGGGAATCTTCAATGTAGTGGGACTAGGGATTTCGCCACCAGCAATAGTAGTGGTAAGCAGGATTTTTTTTAGTTTGGACAGAGAGAGATTTGCATGAAGCGGTAAGTTTTCTGCAGGAGTTGGGTTCAACCGAAGGCCAATGAGGTCAGGGGTATAACTTCGTCCCAGAATTTCCGTATTGGGGGACCACCAAATATGTGAGAACATGCCCCCATCTACCCCACATTTCCAACAGCTGTCTGGGAGGGTAGGGTACCACCTGTGTACTGTAGCTTCTCTGGGGTGTGATACCGTCTAGTCACGAGCTTCCGACCAACCTCCAAAAGCCTGGAACTCGTCACCAGAGAGGTAGCAGCTTGAAAAATGTTTTGCCACTGGTGAGTGGGAAGGGAGATACCAAGATCCTTTTCCCACGCTTTAGTGTACGAGGGAAGAGGGTCAGGTACCAATGTCTGCATAGTTCTGTAGGACTCCGACAGGAGTAGTCTGGGACAAAACCATGTGAGGATGACTTGCTCATACTCAGTCAAACTACGTGGTCCTTATAGCATATGCAGAAGTAACTTCAGATAATGTATCAGTTGATGGTGTCTAAATTTGTCTGAAAATGTTGGGGTCTTTTCATGTAGACAATGTACCAATGTTGGGAGAGAGTCTGTGGTGCAGATATCTTGTATTCGTATATTCGGGCTGTTAAAATAGCATGAGGACAGCCACGCAGTCAAGTCTGTGGACACGGACGAGTTGTGTGTAAGTGATAGTAATGGGGAACAGGGTGGCAAGAGCCCCAAATCTGCTCTATATTTGTGCCATAGTGATAGGTTATATAGTAGGATGCTGGCATACGTTCAGGCAAAGTAAATGGTCATTGGCCTCTTGCCAGGATAATGTGTATCAGCACGGTCAAAAAACTAGCCTCAATCTGTTTCCAGGGTTTATGTAAGTCTGGCAGTGTCCAGGCCGGTATCCTCGCCATCCTTGAGGCGCGGCTTCTTCCCCATCCAGACATGCAGTATTGATTGCTTGGAAAAAGGTCGTAGGTAGGTGTAGAGAATGCTAACTTTTTAATGCAAACAATGCTGAAGTGGACAGATTAAATTACCTCACCTCCCCTTCTTAGTACCACTAATGCAATATATAATGTATGAATGAGAGTAGGGTTTGCAGTATTTTTACCTAGGAGCACCTTTAAATTAAGCATTTAAAAGCAAGAATTGGTAGCAGCCATCTTTGCCATTTCCTGTTTTCTCGGTGTGCCACGCACTGCACAATGGTAACGTTTACTTACACCTTTTGGGAAGTTATAATCTCCTATAGTTATCGCTTTCTCAACTGCAACTCTGGAATTCGTTGGTATAACTGGGTACATCCTGAAAAATAGAGGCACAATTAGTTCAAACATATATTTTTTTTAATTTAAAATAATAAATGCTGTCATCGCTTTCAATCTCCATATACCGATACTTTCATCTTAAATTAACACTTTCCAGAAAGCTGAAGTGCTTTTTGTGATTTATGAAAGTGCAGATTTCTTTTATAATTGAATTGGCAGACACACCTCACTGGCTGTCAGGAGCGGTTTGGGCAAAAATGGCTTCATGCATATCGGCAAACTCCCTTTGTGTGTGCGCGCAATTGCTTGACTTCTCATGGAAGAACTTTTATAGATTTTATACAGGCCTGTCTCAGGCCCATGCTTTTTAAAATCAAATATTTTTTTTGTCCCTAAGTCACTTTTAAAAGGATAAACATTACAGTGGAGCCTTATTTTTTTTTTTTTATTCCTCGTAGGATATTTAAACCCAAACAAACTTTAATAAAAATAAATATATTCATGTACTAATTAAATGTGGTTGGCCTCAATTTAGGTAGCTCTAGTGTATTTTCTTTTAATATTTATTTATATCTAGAGAATTAAAAAAAAAAAAATTATATTATATATATAAAAAAAATAAAATCTCCACAGGACCTTGCACTCTGACTATTCTCTATAATGCTGGGTGCATCTTGCAGTCATAGCCAAATTATAAAAATAAACAGAAAATGGCTTGCACTCGCCGTCTTTTCGTAGTTAAATTCCTTTATTAGATATATGTGAAAAGAGATCAACATTTCAGCCCTCGTCCGGGGCTTTCCTCAGGATCAATGCATGTCTAATACACATCACAAACAAAAGCATTGATCCTGAGGAAAGCCCCAGACGAGGGATGAAACGTTGATCCCTTTTCACATATATCTAATAAAGGAATTTTTCCTACGAAAAGACCGTGAGTGCAAGCCATTTACGGTTTATTTTTATATTATATATATATATATATATATATATTCATTCAGCATCTTAGTTTAATGTAAAATTATTTTTCTTTATTTTTTTACTTCTCAGATATAAATGAATATTTGAAAAACCCACCAGTGCTTTCTAAATTATTTATTTATTAGAGTTGAAACCCAGTTCTCTATATTTATATTAAACCTACCCTTTTTGGGGAGTGTCGGGTCTCCCTGAATTAGACTTTCTAACTTCGCTTTCAACTGAATTGTTAAGTAAATCTCAGCAGAGCCTACATCAATGTTTCTATAAATGTGAGGGACATAACTAAATTCAAGCAGAATCTACCTGAGTGTTTCTTTAATTACAGCCCTCAGCAGTGGCATTTTGGAGATGTCCTGCGCAGTGGGTATAGTTTCTCCAGGGATGACCCCTGTCACCTCTTTATAAAGCTCTTCCTGTATTTCTGGGTTTTTTGACAGATGGTACAGAGCCCAGGACAGTGTGTTGGAAGTCTGGAGAGAAAGAGAATAATGTTATCACAGTGCCACCATGTGGTGAGGGCGATACAAGGTCACACGTTACCTCTGAGAATAGAAAAGGGTCGAGCAGGATAGGTGGCCAAGGATTATAACTTGGCATAAAAACGGGGGCATGAGCCTCGATTCCCCTTTGCTGTTCAGCCTCTTATTGTAGTACAGACTGTACAGCTCCAATCAAGGATGATGAAAAATTTGTACTTTCTTAGTACATAAAGACTAAGAAAAACAAAACAAAAAAAAAAACCCTTTCCACAATTTTTTTTATATTTTTAAATCTGAAAGAACCCATTATTCACATACCGTGTCTACTCCGGCCAATAGCAGCTCTGCCACACTGCCATACACCTCTTTGTCTGTTAGTTGACCACTGGAGAGTAAATACGTCAGGTATTCACCCTGTACTTCTTCACCGCGCTCCAAACGCTCCTGGATCTTCTCCATCTTTTGGTCTATCAACTTTTTCCCTATACAGCAAAGGAAGGGCAGGGTTATCAGTCAGTGAACACAATACATGTGTTATTTTTTTTAAACAGAGGAATGTGAGCGAGTTAAGGGTTAGTTTAGGTAAAATAGGACACAATTTCATTTAATATTTTGTATCAGAAATATTGGCAACAAATTAAAAAAAATAAAAGTAATCTACCTTTTAAATTATTCCTCGGGGGACTACTTCGTGAGTCTCTGTGAAGCTACTGGCAGTCCCCTCCAACACTAGTTTAACATGCTCCAATCAGGAGCCTTGTATTTTGGTTTGTGGTGAGAGACTACATCCCAAATTTCCTGTCCACTAGGAGATTATGGGATAAGTAGTTACACCTCAAAAAGCAGTTCCAATCATCACATAGAATTATTTGAACAGCTCTTTACACCTCAGTTCATACAGTTAGTATCAGCTGTTCGTTGTATCTCTGGGGAGGGGAGAAGGAACTCGTATGTTAGTATGTATAGTGTATGTGGTTTGCACATGACACACACAATAGGCAAAATAATGGACTCCGGCAAAACGGAATAAAGTATTGCAGGATGCCTGACTGACTGTCATGGTGGCCTTTCTTATAGTGGCTGCTGTTTTTACAAATCCCTCCTGCTAGACACCATTGTTAGAAATGGCAGCGCGCTCAGCGTGTTTGAAGTACCATTTGCAACGATGCAAAGTGTTTATGGTGCGTAGACCGTTCAATCAATCCAAGTCATCAAAGGTCCCATTTAATGTAATGAGAGAAGCCAAATGTATCAGAAAGTGGTCAAATAAACCTATGTGAACAGTCATTGCAAATACCACATTGTATAAAGCCCCCTACTCCTGGGTAAAGGCAGGTATTTTCAATCCAATTGTGTGATTTAAAACAATATAAATATCAGGGCTCAGAATTTTCACTAGCCACTAGCATAGTAAACATGTATCCCGGGTAGGAGACATGTATCCCGGGTAGGAGACATGTATCCCGGGTAGGAGACATGTATCCCGGGTAGGAGACATGTATCCCGGGTAGGAGACATGTATCCCGGGTAGGAGACATGTATCCCGGGTAGGAGACATGTATCCCGGGTAGGAGACATGTATCCCGGGTAGGAGACATGTATCCCGGGTAGGAGACATGTATCCCGGGTAGGAGTCATGTATCCCGGGTAGGAGACATGTATCCCGGGTAGGAGACATGTATCCCGGGTAGGAGACATGTATCCCGGGTAGGAGACATGTATCCCGGGTAGGAGACATGTATCCCGGGTAGGAGACATGTATCCCTGCTGTGTATGCTATGGATTGGAGTGGATTTTAAGGCTTTGCTATCAGCCCTGTATAGAATCAAACCATTTAATCAAGAAAGGTTAATTGAGATAGTTGCTAATTTCCAAGTGCCCCTTGAGCTGTAAATATTATTATTATCATTACACTGAATAATATAGGATACATTTCTGAGATGAACCTTAATTTCCACTTGTGTGGGATTTGTATTGCCAATATAAACCCACTACTGACACACAGAGCTTGCTCACTGGAGTTTGCTTGAAAGTAGGCTATTTAAAGTACGAAATGCAACAACAAGAGTTTAAACTAAAAGGGAATTTAAACCAAAAGGGTAAGTAGTTTTATTATTTTTGCTCACTTGTGTTTTGGTAACTGGGATGAGTGCTAGCAAGATTGCAAGTTTTACTCAGTGCACATCAGGCTGCCTGGATGAAGCCATCTAGGGTCCATATCTCTGTGGTGGGTGTGAGCGAGAGGCTTTTCTGGAAGCTCAGATTAGAGATCTGGAGAGGCAAATTGCAACATTGAGGGAGATTGACAATCTTGAGAGGAGTCTGCTGCTCACTGCGGAGAGTTTAGTGGGTGCAGGTAGTGGAGTGGGAGGAGATGAGACACTTGGTGAGCAGGCACATAGCTGGGTAACAGGGGGGCGAGAAAGCAGGGGACGAGGGAAGAGGAAAGGTTTAGCTAGTCCTGATCTTGTGCAACCTAGCAGATTTGCCCGTTTGTGTGAAGATGCTGGGAGCATCAGCTCAGGAGTAGCTGTACTGCAGGGAGCTGTTCCTTCTAACAGCCGTGGGAACAGCCCCTCTAGTATGGGTGGGGTTGAGAGTGTAAGGAAGTCTAGACAGGTTGTGGTGGTAGGGGACTCTATTATTAAGAGAATAGATAGGGTAATCTGCCACTCTGATCATCTCAACCGGACAGTTTGCTGTCTCCCGGGTGCTCGGGTCCGGCATGTTGCCAACAGAGTGGAGGGATTATTGAGAGGAGCTGAGGATGACCCAGCTGTCAAGGTCCATATTGGTACCAATGAAAAAGTCAGGGGAAAAAGGAAGGTCCTAAAGAATGAGTTCAGGGAACTAGGAAGTAAACTAAAGAAAATGACCTCCAAGGTAATATTTTTAGAAATATTACTGGTGCAGCGCGCTACAGCAGAAAGGCAGCGGGAGATTAGAGAGGTCAACGCGTGGCTGAAGTCTTGGTGCAGGAAAGGTTTTTTTTGTTTTTTAGAGCACTGGGCCGATTTTGCGCTTGGGTACAACCTGTATAGTCGTGATGGGTTGCACCTAAACGGGAGAGGGTCTGCTGTGCTGGGGTCTAGGATGGCTAGAAGGTTGGAGGAGATTTTAAACTAGTAGTGGGGGGTGGGGGGGGAGTGAGAAGGGGGTCATGGCAACCGAGAGAAAGGACAGAAAGGAGACGGGCTTTAGCTCAGTATAGGGGAGTGAAGGGGGGAGGAGAGGGGCAAGCTCAGAATAGAGAAGGTATGTAATATTGATCAAAATTCACAAAATGACTCCTGATAATATTAAATGTATGCTTACTAATGCAAGGAGCCTATATAACAAAATGCGGGAACTAGAGGCACTAGCATACACTAAACAATATGATATAATAGGCATAACAGAAACATGGTGGGATGAGACACATGACTGGGCAGTTAACTTAAATGGGTAATTTAGAAAGGATAGGAAAAACAAGAAGGGTGGTGGGGTATGTTTATATGTCAACCATGAGTTAAAGTCAAATCTTAGGCATGTGGAGTATGACGAGGAAAATTTGGAAGCTTTATGGGTAGATATCTGCTTGGGGCAAATGAATGGAAATCAGTTATTGATTGGGATATGTTATAAACCACCTAATGTAAATATTAATGAGGAAGAACAACTGTCAAATTGGGAAAGCTGCAAATTGAGGTAAGACGTTAATTATTGGAGATTTTAATTATCCGGACATAAATTGGGATAGAGGGACTAGTATTTCAGCAAGGGGAAGCAGGTTTTTGAACTTGTTAAATTCAAAAATTTTGACCAACATTCAAGTAGGGGAGCATTTGAGAAATAGTGATCACAATATGGTAATTTTTAAAATAAACTCAAAAAAGCAAAAGCACGTGGGGTATACTAAAACATATAATTTTTAAAAAGCCAATTTCAATAAGATTAGGGCAGCTACACAACATATCGACTGGCATAAACTCCTTGGTGATAAAAACACTGAGAATAAATGGAAACTATTCAAACAAATATTAGAAAGGTACATTTCTCAGGATGTACCATTGGGTAATAAATGTAAAAGAAACAAATTGAAACCAATGTGGTTTAGTAGAGAAGTAAATCAAGAGATTAAAATTTAAGAAAAGGGCATTTGAAATTGGACAAATCAGAGGCATCCTATATAAGATATAAAATTGCAAAAAGGCAACCAAAGTGGCTAAACTAGAAAATAAGAAATTGATAGCCAAAGAATGCAAAACCAACCCCAAAACCTTTTTCAAGTACATCAATTATAAAAAAAAAAAAACAACAAAAAAAAACAAATGAAAGTGTAGGTAAAATGGAAACAGATAGGTCTGTTAGTTAATAAAGACCAGGAAAAGGCAGATATTTTAAATAACTTCAGTATATATTAATGAGGATTCTATGGCAAGAGATATGCAAATGTTTGCTGCAAAAAAAAAAAAAAAAACTTACAGATAACTTGTGATTGGAGGACTCGAGACAAGGTTCTACAGCTATTAAAGGAAATTAATGTAAATAAAGCTACGGGCCTGAAGGGAATTCACCCACGAGTACTTAAGGAGCTAAGTGGGGAAATAAGTGAACCTCTGTATTTAAATTTTTCAAGATTCGTTTGGTTCAGGTATTGTACCAGAGGATTGGAGGAAGGCAGATGTCGTTCCAATATTTAAAAAGGGTTCAAAATCCTTACCTGGAAATTATAGACCTGTGAGCTAAACTTGTGTGACTGGGAAAATATTTGAAGGGCTATTAAGGGATAATATTCAGGAATTCATTGGGAAGAACTTTGTTATTAGCAATAATCAGCATGGGTTTATGAAACATAGGTCATGGCAAACTAACCTAATTGCATTCTACGAAGAAGTAACTAGAAGTATAGATCAGGATGTTTTAGTGGATTGGATTTTACCAAAGCATTTGATACGGTTCCTCACAATAGGTTAGTCTTCCAACTAAAAGAAATTTGTCTAGATGAATATTCTTATTCTTGGATAGAACAGTGGCTTAAGGATAGAGTACAACGAGTTGTAATTAATGGTACATTTTCAAGCTGGAAAAAAGTAGTAAGTGGTGTCCCTCAGGGTTCTGTTTTGGGACCGCTTCTATTAAACATATTTATAAATGATCTTGAAATAGGCATTGAAAGCCACATTTCAGTGTTTGCAGATGACACAAAACGTTGTAAAGTAATAAAATGTGAGCAGGATATTGCTCTACTGCAGAGGGATTTAGATAGACTAGGGGACTGGGCACTAAAATGGCAGATTAAATTTAATGTAGAAAAATGCAAAGTTATGCACTTCGGGGTCAAGAATGCACAAGCAATTTACACCCTAAATGGTAGTGGAAGGATTTGGGAATTGTTATAGACAACAAATTAGGCAGCAATATGCAATGTCAATCTGCAGTTGCTAAGGCCAGTAAGGTTTGTCATATATAAATAGGGGGAACATTTTCAGGGATGAAAATATCATTTTGCCTCTTTATAAATTGCTGGTAAGACCACACCTTGAATATGCTATGCAATTTTGGGCACCTGTTCTAAAGAAGGATATCATGGCACTAGAAAAAGTCCAAAGATGAGCTACAAAATTGATAAAAGGAATGGAGCATTTTAGTTATGAAGAAAGGTTAAGAAATCTAAGTCTCTTTAGTTTGGAAAAATGGTGCCTCAGAGGAGATATGATAGCATTATACAAATATATTCAGGGCCAGTTCAACCCATTATCTGGAAATCAATTCATAAACAAGGCTATACATAGGACTAGAGGTCACGCATTTAGGCTGGATGAAAGGAGATTTCATCTAAGGCAAAGAAAATGTTTTTTTTTTTTTCACAATAAGCGCAATAAGGATATGGAATTCTCTGCCTGAAGAGGTGGTTTTATCAGAGTCCATACATATGTTTAAACAGCAATTGGATAAATACTTCCAAAAACATAACATACAGGGATATAATATCAAATTAGTGGGGCAATAGCTGCTTGATCCAAGGAGATAACTGACTGCTATGTTGGGGTCAAGAAGGAATTTTTGTCCTATTTTGTTGCAAAATTGTAAGCGCTTCAGAATGGGTTTTTTTGCCTTTTTTGGATCAACAGCAAAAACTGATGTGAGGAGGCTGAACTTGATGGACGCAAGTCTCTTTTCAGCTATGTAACTATGTGACACTGAGATACTGCAACTGGAGAGCTATCCACTGAGCTATCTCACCAGCCTGATCACTGAGACCTCACACATCCAGAAGTTCTTCGTACACTAACTAGACAGCTCGTCTACAATCGAGAGCCACTCTTGATATATTGTATATGAGCCATATGCCAGGGTTCACCAGTCTACCTAAATCTTAGTGATCTACCACACCAATACCTCTATCACAGTCTATAGTTTGTGTGTTCTCTACATGTTAACTGCTGATGAACCATTAACAATGTAAAAGAACACATAATCGGTGCAAAAAAAAAAAAAAAAAAGGAGCATAGCACGATTATGGTACAGGGTTCACCAAGGCACAATACATTGATAAGGGGTTTTATACCCAAAATGCCATGTCCTTCAATAAATGTATGTGCTAATGTTGTGCTGTCCTCCTTTTTGGCTTGATTGCATTTTGGAATTACAAGGGCTGTAACCCACAACCCAGATTTGTTTTAAAGGGGATCAGTCAGTTTACCCCCATTGAATAATCTTGTATTTACCTTCATGATATGTTCCTTTTTCTTTAAAAATGTGTAGCAGACATTTAACAAATTACATCAACATCAAATCCAAACAGGACAAACATTGGAAATTACAGAGGAAAAGCCCACATTGCTCAATACTGTCCGAAGTTCAGAAACCGCTAACAAACTAAGAGAAAAGGCAACGGAGTGTGATTGAGGCCCGGGTCAGGACATACCGATACATACGTCAGCTTTATATTTAGATTTAATTATTTATTTTTTATTGTAGGTTTTCTTTGGTTTAAAGTTTTATTGTGCTTTTCTTTTCAACTGCATATTTTTTGGACTGTCAATCAGATTCAGGTTTATTGCAAAATTATGTTTTTGCACATTTCTGCAATTGTTTTGGTATATTAATGTAGAAGGAGTAAGGCTTTTCTAAATACATTTATGCGGTAAGGTGTTTGAATAGTAGTCTATATGGGGTTTTCCACTAGCGTCAAACATTTATGTACTACCCTGATTTTACTTTATTTACTTTAGACGAGAGCCTGGTTCAGAGTAAAGGTTTTACTGATGTAATGGATGGTTGACATATCTGTACTTTTGTGTTTTTATTTTCTGATCGAGTTAAATCTTTCTCTTTTCCACGCAGGTCAGGGGTGCCCAAAAGGTAGATCCCCAGATAGTTTAAAACTACAGCTTCCATGAAGCCATTGTAAAAGCATTCTAAAGGCATACAAAGCATTATGGGAGCTGTAGATCTACCCTTTGGTCACCCCCGACCGAGGTTCTGTTAGTGCAGTTGGTTTGTTTTTTGCTTTCTTGTTACTACAAATTTTATTTTTGTAAAATGCCCTTTTTAATGTTACTAGAAAAAAAAGATTTCCTTTGAATTTGTCACCCACCAAATGAGAAGATGTTGTCCCAGCTTTCTATATAGCGTTTAAAAAATGGCAGTACTCTGTTGGTCCACTCTGGCAAAATAGAAGCAATGACGTGATTCTTCATCATACTGCCAATGGAATCAATGAACCTCTGGGTGTCTGAGGGTATCTGTTTCTCCAAGCAGCCGATCCGAGTCTCAAACAATATGTAAGAAATACCTAGAAGAAGAAAAAAATTAAATAAAAACCATGAATAAGAAAATCTGTGATCGTTAAATGAACATTCTAAACACCATAACTACTGCAATATATGGTAGTTGCTGTGGTGTCAGGTGTATGAATGGTTTGACATTTATCTCGCTGCGTCGGGTCCCTGCAGTCTGATAATTTGGAAGTTTTATTAGAAGTGAACGATATTGATTGACTGAGTTCTTGTTAGAGTTTTTTCCACATTGTTGATATACTTGTTGGAAACGTTAAAAAAATTAAATCAGTTTACAAAAAAATTAAAGATGCAAATTTGGGACCCAAGAACCAATTTTTCCAAAATGATTCTGGTTTGTAAACTCCCATGCTGGATTTTGTAAATCTAATTTGGCTATTAATTTGTAGTTTAGTAAATCACCAAGACTATGGACCAGAATTTTGGTAAGTTCCGATGGACCAAAGATCTGTGGCTGACGCAGACAGTTGCAGTAATGAAGATGGTGTTTTTAAAATACCGTAACTGTAAGAAGGATTTTTAGGCTTGCTGTCTCGCCAAGTATTTGCCACCTTGTGAATTCCACATCCTGTCAAGTTGTGCGTTATAGTGGCTATGGTTTCAGGAGTGCCCTGGCATCCTACCATGATAAGTAGTCCAACTATTTTTAAAATGGTTTGACTTCTTATCTGGGGTTTGCGGAATGCCATTCTCTGTCTCCAGAGAAGCCAGAGAGATGGATGTTTCTTCTTAAGAGCTTCCATCACTTCTCCCAAGTGAAGTCCTGAGTCCATGGTTAGCTCACTGGCTCTGAGTGTCCGTTGATAACTCTCAGCCAACTAGCTAAACTCTGCACTGCAAGGGTTACCTCAAACACAGACCTCTTGGCTCATTGACTGCAGTAGCAGAAGCTGCTATCGGTGCTAGCGGACCTCAGGTAAGAAATCAAAAAGTTCCATATCAGTGGAAATGCAGTGATTACATAATTGATTTCACGCCGGGAGCACATAAACTCTAAATATTGCTGGGATTTCAAGTACCAATCCACATGATGCAGAAAATGTAAGTGGATAACAAATCAATTATAAAGATCTGGAAAACAGAAGCAGTTTTCTTTTAGCATCTTTCCCCTCCCCAAAAATTACCTTCGAAGGCGAATCTGTAGAGGGCGTTTGGTAGGTCATTGACCATAACTCCTGAAGGAGATTCCTTTCTCATCTCATCCAGTCTGAGCAGAAAGTCTGTAACCACCTCATTGAGTGATCCAGTGTACAACACCACTTCCTGGGGCAGCAGCATTCTCTTATTCAGCACAGTCCGCAGCCTGTGCCAGCGGTGGCCTTCCCTGGAAGCACGGAACATGGGGTTCCCTTTAGAAATACCGTATTCAATAATGTGTTTGAAAAACCATCAGACAGACACTTTATGTAATATTCATGGCTTATTGCTATAGAAACTTTTTTTTTTCTTTTTTTGTGATTTTAAAAACTTTTTCAGTTGTATTAAAGAGAAACAACAGTCACGTTACCTCTTTTTTGTAATACATATAGTACAGATAGTTGATTAAAACATGCTGCAAAAATAACAAACAAAATTTACATTTCAAGCTCTTGAAGCCAACGGCATGAGGCAAATCCCTATCTCACCAGGAAACCGCTCAACCAATCAACTTCTCATTCTGGTCTAAAGAATCTGATCTTGTCCCATAAACCTCTGCCTAGCGGGAGTTTGTGGGAGGCATAGTTTACCCCCAAGCAGCTGCTCCAGTCATTAGTATTTAAGGGATGTGATTAGATCAGTTGCACACTATTTAGTGATCCGAATTATATGCATGGCTATGTCTGGGCTTATCCTTTAACTAGACGTAATCTCTTGCTGCGGCCAAGGGGCTAGCTTGTAACTGCAGCAATATTAATAAAGCCCTGTGTGTGTGTTTTATTAAGAAATTATAACTTCACAGATTTTTGTAATAATGAGTAATAGAGGCCCATTTTTAATATTTATTTTTCTAGAACCACACAGAGATTAGAGTCTTCGCAATAATTCCACATGAGATAATTGGATTCTACAACATTTTCTGTGTTACTGCTTGGACTGTGCACTTTCTGTGTGTTTAACACAGAGCTACAGTGCAATAGAACTCAGAGTATTTTGCATTATGAGCAATACTTTAGTTCCATATACAGAGTACTCTAAAAAAAGTCAGTATTTGTCATCTACTGCTACACATTTAAAACTAAAGTCTGGATTCTCCATGTGTGTTGAATTAAAAGGACTTTCTGGGCTCTCACACATGTTAGATGCACTGTGTAGGTTAGGTTACGATTAGTAATAACCAACTGTAACCTATGGGAACCTGAAGTGTCCCATTAATAATATAAACCCACCCAGTATAACTAACTGTAACCTCACCTACACAGTGCATCTAACGTGTGTGGGAGCCTGGAGTGTCCCTTTAATAATATAAACCCACCCAGTATAACTAACTGTAACCTAACCTACACAGTGCACCTAACGTGTGTGGGAGCCTGGAGTGTCCCTTTAATAATATAAACCCACTCAGTATAACTAACTGTAACCTAACCTACACAGTGCATCTAACGTGTGTGGGAGCCTGGAGTGTCCCTTTAATAATATAAACCCACCCAGTATAACTAACTGTAACCTAACCTACAGTGCACCTAATATGTGGGAGCCTGGAGTGTCCCTTTAATAATATAAACCCACCCAGTATAACTAACTGTAACCCAACCTACACAGTGCATCTAACGTGTGTGGGAGCCTGGAGTGTCCCTTTAATAATATAAACCCACCCAGTATAACTAACTGTAACCTAACCTACACAGTGCACCTAACGTGTGTGGGAGCCTGGAGTGTCCCTTTAATAATATAAACCCACCCAGTATAACTAACTGTAACCTAACCTACACAGTGCATCTAACGTGTGTGGGAGCCTGGAGTGTCCCTTTAATAATATAAACCCATCCAGTATAACTAACTGTAACCTAACCTACACAGTGCATCTAACGTGTGTGGGAGCCTGGAGTGTCCCTTTAATAATATAAACCCATCCAGTATAACTGTAATATAACCTACACAGTGCACCTAAGGTGTGTGGGAGCCTGAAGTTTCCCTTTAACAATATAAACCCACCCAGTGCACCTTGGTTGGGGACCACTGGTCTACAAACATTATATTTTAATTAAAAAAAACACTAACAACCAATACATTGTTTGGTAAACAAATGTAAAGATAATGCACACAGCAGATCACAATATATTTTAAATGCGCTATGATGATGAAGACAATTTAGAGTTGTCCAGATCAGCGAACTCCGTAAAATACATTCTTCAAACTCACTCTGTCAATGGACCATAGGCCAGATCCCTCATATGACGATGTACTTTCCAAAGAACCATGTCACACCTCATTGGGTATTTCCCCTCCTGCCTGAGGACAGTTTCTACCAAGTTCACATCTGCAACATTAACTACTTGATATTGTCCAAACGACGATTTCCACATCGGTCCATATTTCTCCTTGAAGATGATCTGAAAGGTCGCAATATCAATAAATTATTTTGAAATGCAAATACTAGATGTTACATAGAGAACATGTGAAAAAAACAAAACACCCGTAACTATTGTACTCTGTAGACACATGTGCTACGAGTACTGGCAAGTTGTTGTTTTTTTTACTAAAGTGAGAATTGGGAGAAATTCAAAATAAATTTAAAGCCAAAAAAAAAATATTCTTCAAATCAGCAAAGCTTTCATTTTGGCATCTTTGGTTTATTTAATGTGAAATTCACTTTGAATTTCTGGCATTCCCAATATAGCAAATTACCCTGTGGCGGTGCACTCCCAAAACACAACTCTCTCCATTAGTTGCATCAAAACTCATCATCGAATACTCAAAATAGACAAAGAAGGTCATAGTAAACAACTTACTGAGTGCAGTTCCCTAGAATCTGATTTATTTTAATGGCGTTCCTCTTTCAACCATTGGGATAAACTCCTCTATGACACAGTAATGCAGGTCAATAAACCATTTATTGTCCAGTGAATGTTCCTTGGATTTGTTATTGGTTTCAACTCACATTACAAAGTTTAAAACCAGTTTGTTTGTTTTTTTGTGTAAACCTAGCACTGACTGCTTTGTCGAGGCCCGTCCTTCACATGGTGTACTCCCATGTTAGAGAGGAGTTTACCCCAGAAGGTCTTCTTTCTGGAAACAAAGTTATTTAATATAGATTTTATAACATTTAATGGACAGCTGTTGGTAAAAGGTATTCAAGTCTCCCAGACATTTTTTCACTGTTATGTGATGAATCCCACGTGAGTTTCAGCTAGAGTCCGACTAGGGGATTATTAGAAGATTACTGTTAATCCTGAATTAAACAAGGTAACGTTTCATTACCAATATGAATAAATGGTGTGATACGCTGACCAATTTTTACTTTTCTACAGCTCATGGAAAAACTGTCCCCCTAAATTATCAGCAGTGAGTAAGAACTTAACATCAGAGTGACATACCTGCTACCTACCGCCATCGCCCGGACTATGGAATGGGGCAAATTTAATTAAATATAGCTGAACTGGATGAATCTTCTAAGTCCAGCTATGCTTCCAGTTCAGCTCCTCTGGCCTGAAAGGGACACTCCTCTGCCGAAATACAAAAATGTAATTAAATATCATTGTTTAGTTGATATACCCTCAAAAACCATGCATGCCCTTAATCTAGCATTTTTTTATTGGAGTTATATCTAAAAATGTACATATCTCTTGTCTGCAGCCTTTGCAGGCCCTCCCCTTCTAACCCCGCCCAGACTTTCTGTGACTGTCCAATCACAGACTTCCTAATACAGCTCAGTGAGAAGACTTTGCAAGGCAGATACTCTAGGCCAGTGGTTCCCAATCCATTCCTCATATACCCTCTACCAGTCCAAGATCTAGGGAGTACCCTGTTGTGTCTAAGGTGTTTTTAGAAGAAAGAGAAAAAATACTTTAGACATGACAAGGTAGTCCCTAAACTCTGGACTAGTTGGGGGCACTTGAGGACTGGGTTGCAAACCCGTGCACTAGGCAATTGCTTCCTTTTGAGTTTAGCTTCACTTAACTCTGATTGACAACCAAGAAGTGTAACAAAGTTCATTTATAAAAGTGACAATATCTTTTGAATCTGCATTTTTTTGTAAAATGAAAAAAAAACAAACAAAAACAGGACACTTCACACATAAAACATTTCAGCATGCTAAACTTATAAGGGTCTGGAGTGGTGTCCCTTTAAATGTGAAATTCACTTAGAATTCCTGATATCTAAAAAACATTGGAGGTTACCCTGGGTACCATGTAATTGAGAACAGAAAGCTTTAGAGAATGTAAATCACACATGCTATGGCCAGATAGCTTAAAGGGAAACTCCAGGGCCAGGAAAACAATCTGTTTTCCTGGCACCGCAGGTTCCCTCTCCCTCCCACCCCCCAATCCCCGGTTGCTGAAGGGGTGAAAACCCCTTCAGTAACTTACCAGAGGCAGCGACGATGTCCCACGTCGCTGCTTCTTCCTCCGCCGCTCTAGTAGACAGCCACTAGAGGTGGAGTTAACCCTGCAAAGTAATTATTGCAGTTTATAAAAAAACTGCAATAATTACACTTACAGGGTTAAGAGTAGTTGGCACCCAGACCACTCCAATGGGCAGAAGTGTTCTGGGTGCCTGGAGTGTCCCTTTAACTGGATAAAAAAGATCTGTGGGACAATTTTTCCAGTTTTGATATTTTAACCTGATATATTACATTTTCCTTGTCAATTCCCCACACTTCTTGGTCTAAACCTCTTCGTGTCCCTCCGATCTAACACAACGACACTAAATATAGCACACTTCTGCGTAACACCCGTGGGAAAAGCATTGAACAATAGCTATAGCTCATTTGAGGCTGCACCCAAACAACCAGTGCTATATTTGGCACTGTAAAGGTTAAACTTACTTGTAACTCATGTGAGTGTAGAATGTATCCTCTCAGCAGGACCCAGTATATGCTCTGCAGCACAGAGGGGCCAGGCAGATCTTCAAAGGTTTTTAATCTCTTGTCCCCCTCTGCTACCTCAGCTGCAGCCCTGGCTATGGTCCTTGTCTGGGTCCCAGTCACCCTGCATGTCTGCAGCAGGAAGAAGACCCTTCTCCTGCCTAGAGTAGGCCAGCAGCGCAGGGATGCAGAGGTTAACATGTCTGAGAGCAGATTCTGCTATTGTGAGAGTGTTGAATGACAGCAGCTGCTTTATACCAACACAGAGAAGCTGGTTGTGTAAGAAAAATAGCTAGAAGAAACTCCCTCTAGTGACCGCTTGTTCCCTGTTGGAGAATAAATTACACACTCACACCCACTCCCACACCCACTCTGCGACTGTGCCAGGACCAGCCATTACTGCGCCAGGCAGCCGAAATACCACATTCATTCTTACTGCGTTAGAGTCAAGTGATTTTCACATTTTAGGCTAAAGTAGTTAAAAAAAAGAGTTGACCTGCAGAAATATTCGAATTCAGATATATTGGCCTTAAATTTGGAATTTACTTTGAGTTCACTTTCAGAGTTATTTACTAAAGCGAATTATCGGGAATTCAAAGAGAATCAAGTGAATCTAAAATCTAAGGCCCAGATACTGTATCTGAATTGGAAGATTCTCCAAGTCAGCAATGCTTAGAGTTCGGCTAATTTGGTCTGAAATTCTCTTTGCATTCCCCAAAATTCTCAGTTTGCTAAATAACGCTGTTTGAATGCCCAGAATTTAACACTTTAGTGAATAACTGTGGAATGTGAAAAAAGAGAAATTAGAACATTTTGCAATCCAAGCAGGAGTCCCAGATTCTCATACAGTGTTCCATTATTTTGTGCAGTTTAAATTCTAGGGAACTCTGTACTTGTCGACTTTATCATCACAGTCTCCCATCAGGTCCTCCCAACTCCAACTGTCAATGAATCCCTTAAAGGGACACTCCGGGCACCGATACTACTTTAAATTGTTAGGTTACTGTTTTAAAGACTTCCTTATCAAAAAGGAATGTACACAGCACAGCCACTGACAGTAGAGGAAGAGGAACCCAGGGGGACATACGGTGAGGATATTACTGAGTGTCTGCAGTCTCTCTGACTGTCTGCAGACAGGTTGTGAATTAAAAGCCACTTACTCTGTGCGGTTAGGGCTGAGACTGTCTGCATACCTTTGATTTCTAAAGTGGAGGGGGCTTGGGTAAGGAGAGAGGTTTAGGTTTCCTCATTCTGCAAAAAAGAAAATTGTAAAAAAATGTGTGAACAAAAAAACAAAGATTTGAGAATGCAAAAAAACAACACAGCTTATTATTAAAGGCCAAAATCTACCAAATGCATTCAAGTCGTATTGATGCCTGGAGTGTCCCTTTAACTAAATCCCTCTCAGCCACCTTAAGAAAAATGATCCATCCCCAATCTCTCCAGTTACTACACCTGTGTAATATGAGACAGATATCCAGTGTATTGTGTTGGGAGTGTTGTAGAACCTAGATCTAAACTGAATCCATTTTGAGTGAGACGATCTTATTGTTCAAACAAACACTGCAAAACATCAGGGTTTGTGGAAATGTATCTTACTTCCCATGTCTTATAAACATTGATTTGTGGCTAATTCACTAAACTGAATACAAATCTAATTACTTAATCTGACATTAATGGAAGTAATCTGTGTGGTTTAAATAAAACGATGACTTTCCATCTTAATTTTAGAAATACCTTTTAATTTAATTTGACGAGAAGAGTAATGATCTACTGAGCTAAAATAAATATCATTAAAGGAATACTAAAAATAAAAATGCAAACCTGTACACTTCTCTCTCCCTCCTCCCCCAAAACAAAAATAATATGTACTTACATTTAACCCTCGCTGCTCCCCTCTAGCTGTGGCTGCCGATCTTGTCTGGCCAATCCAATGCTTTCCCATGGGGAGTCATAGAGGGGATTATGGTTCTGGCCCTGGTGACTATAGTATCCCTTTAAATTCTCTTGATCCATCAACCAGTTTTATACTTTCATAAGATCCTCTGACCTAATCTCCAATCTAAGGTGTTTTTTTTTTTATAATGATTTATCATGTCCATGTTTTATGATTTGTTTGTTAAAAAGTACTTATGTTGGAGCAGAGCCTGATGGCCATGCCCAACAGGCTCAACTCGAGTGAGCTCCGGCACTTAAATTGCTATATTGCATTAATAATATATATATATTAAAAGTACTTATGTTATATTAGCAGGTTCGAACCATAGAATAAAGCTGTGCTTTAATTGCCGCGGACTCATTTTTTTTTAGTTTGCCCTCTATACATTAGAGAGGTCAAGTGATGCAGGATTAGATAACCAGTACAGTCTAGTAATATTTTACTGGAGAATTAATATTTGAAGGTTAGTTCTATGGAAAGTTAGATGGTATGATGACATACGTTAAACACAGATAAATGAAGTGGGAATTTGTGTACAATTATCCTAGGGTGTGATACACCCAATATAAATTGCCCAATGCTTTAATTAAAGGCACACAGTGATTTCACAACTGCAAATGAAATCAATTCAGTAAAGAAATCATTTACTCACTGCATTGGACTAAACAATGCGATTCTATTTTCAGTTATCGTCGGTTTCTGATTTAGTAAATAAACTTTGCAAGTCAGTAGCCTATTCACTGAAAACATCAGAACTAATTCAGTTCTTGCATTACCACAAAATGCCGTTTAGTACACCTACCCCATATACGTGTGTAGCTATAGGGGCCCGAAGATTCCAGCTAAATTATTCTCCTAGCTTGATTGCTTTACCGGTCAGTATTTAATTCATATAGAGTGCTTGTGCTTTGTATTTCTTTATAGTAACACGCTGACACAGTTTCAGATATGTGAGTAAACGTCATGGATCTGTCTGCATTGTAGGAGATTGCTGCTACTATACACAGATAGACACAGGGAGGGACAATAAAACCTACTGAACATTTACACTGTTATTTAGTGAGAATTTAAAGTGAATTTTAGATGTAATATCAAAATAGGCAAACAAGAAAAATGCTCTAGTATAGCTACGCTTACAGCGTAACTACTTCCTCCTTAAAGGACCACTATAGTGCCAGGAAAACATACTCGTTTTCCTGGCACTATAGTGCCCTGAGGGTGCCCCCACCCTCAGGGACCCCCTCCCGCCCGGCTCTGGAAGGGGGAAAGGGTTAAAAACTTATCTTTTTCCAGCGCTGGGCGGAGAGCTCTCCTTCTCTCCTCCTCCGTTCCTCCTCCTGGGCTGAATGCGCACGCGCGGCAAGAGCTGCGCGCGCATTCAGCCCGTAGCATAGGAAAGCATTTACAATGCTTTCCTATGGACGCTTGCGTGCTCTCACTGTGAAAATCACAGTGAGAAGCACGCAAGCGCCTCTAGTGGCTGCCAATGAGACAGCCACTAGAGGATTAGGGGGAAGGCTTAACCCATTCATAAACATAGCAGTTTCTCTGAAACTGCTATGTTTATAAAAAAATGGGTTAACCCTAGCTGGACCTGGCACCCAGACCACTTCATTAAGCTGAAGTGGTCTGGGTGCCTAGAGTGGTCCTTTAATATTGTGATTCACTTTTCATTTTCGCTTAGTGAATAGCTCTGTTGGAGTCAATTCTGCATTCTGATTGGTTAATTGCTGTGTTCATCCAATCAGATACAACTGAGTTTCACACTGGGATTAGTGAGCATTAAATCAGCAGGTATACCCCAGTCGCCACTAAAATGTAGGTTTCCTGGAACAATAACAGGAAAATTCCACTGGTTTCCATGGTGACTGCTCCATGCATTTATACTTAACGGAAAATAGAGCCCTGCTAGACATATGCAAGAATTGGACATTTTCACATTTGATCTATTTTGGATTAAATTTCACAATTCCCTGCTCAGTGAATATATTCTAAAATAGTGAATAGTGAGACAAAATAAATAGCAGATAAGATGGTATCTGGGGACGGGGGGTTATTAGAAAGACAAAGGGAAAATTCTACTGGAAGGTGGTGGGGGCAGGGCTGGCCCATCCATAGACTGCGCTGGAGCCACGGTTTCAGGCAGCACTCTGACAGGGGCGGCATTTTGCCTCCCCTGTCATAATATAAAACAGGATTTCCCAATCCTTGGTGGTGGTGCAGCAGCACCGCACAGGTTGGGAACCTGTGTGAAGGTCCATCTTTAAGAGCACGACCAGGCCCCTTCCTAGCCGCATAGAGAAGTGACAGCGTATCCTCCCAGCTCACGCAGAGCCAGCCGGACAGGTAAGAACCTGCTGGGTGACTTAATTTTTTAATGTGTGTGTGTTTGTGTGTGTGTATCTGTTTGTATGTGTGGGTATCTGTGTGTTTGTGTGTGTATATCTGTGTTTGTATGTGTGTATGTGTAGTGTGTGTATATGTGTTTGCATTTGTTTCTGTTTGTATCTGTCAGGTTTCAAAACTGACATGTAAGACATTTTCGTTTATTACTGGCCCTTTAAGTGAACTTCATGATTTCTCCTCTAGTGGCCTCCCTAGCCACTAATCTATTCACTCACCTTAATAACCTGACCTGGATTAACTAATTAGGAGGCTTGATAAGTCTAGGCACACAACAGGGCCTTGATATTGAAGTCTATGTTCTGAGAAAGAAGCTCTGTTCCTGATAATATCCTGTATTTTATCTACATTATTTCATTCTGTAGCAAACTTACCTGCAGTGCCTCATCCTGTACTCATCTGCATTTCCTCATACTGAAGGGCACTAACCTTCATTACTTCATCCTGAACTTGCCTGAATTACATCTTACCGAAAGACTTTCCTTATCAGCTTCCAAGAATCCTGATTTGTGGCGTATTGCCTTCATTGAAGAATCTTAACTGCTTCAATTGCTGCATCACTGCATGAGCTTGTAAGCAACCTGCATTATATTATTTTGGAATATACCTACCTGTTTCAACCTCTGCAACTCTGCATGATCCTGTATTGCCTTATCCTAAAAGGCATTTACCTATAACTAGCTGCATTACAAAGTATCCTGGAAATCCTTAACTACTTGGTATGACGTCAAGCCTGCTTGTATACAAAAGACTTTATTCATTTACTTTCTAAAGCTCTTGTTTGTGGCATATCGCCTAAACCCTGTTTTTCCTCACAAAGTATCCTGTTTGTGGCAGACTGCCCTTTATTCTTTATTTTCAGTAAATTTAAGTCTAATATGACAAAGTTTTAACCAATAACCCTTGCAATCGTCTCCTCTCTGACCTGCTCAGGAGTGTGTGTGTGTATCTGTACGTAGTGTGGGTATCTGTGTTTTTTGTATTTGTGTACATGTAGTGTGTGTGTGTGTGTGTGTGTGTGTGTGTATCAGTGTGACTGTACATCTGTATGTGTCAGTTTTTGAGATAGATAGATAGATAGATAGATAGAGATATATATATACTGATACACATGCATGCAGATATACAGACACCCAAACACTGCCACACATGAAGATACATAGACAAACCGATACAATCACTGACACATACAGATACACTTACACATATGCACAGTGTATTGGCTGCAGTGAATGACGCAGACTACATCCCCAGCACGCGCTCAGACGCAAACACTTCATCCCCAGCACGCACACATGGACACTACCACTGCAGAAGCATATATGTTGATTTTCTTTTCTTTTTTTTTGGTGGTGGGGGAGCATTTCATAATTTGCATACTGTCTTGGGTAGGGGCTGCTATGGGACGATATTGCGGGCATTTTAAAGATCTGTGTTATTACCTAGTGCAGGCATAGGCAACCTTCGGCACTCCTGATGTTTTGGACTGCATCTCCCATGGTGCTTTGTCAGCATTATGGTTGTAACAGCATTATGGAGGATGCAGTCCACCAGATCTGGAGTGCCGAATGTTTCCTTTCCCTGACCTAGTGAATCGGTGACCCCAGGGAAAGCAGGCATAGTGACGGTGGAGGCACAATGTCTCTGGAGGTTCTGGAGCAGATACAGAATAAAAATATCTCTGCTAATGGTTTGAGTTCACCCTGGCTTATCCCCCTGGTGCAATTGCATGCCATCTTTTGATCTTAGTACAGCCTTGTTGCCAGTATAAAGGATGTGTATGTCATATTTGACAAAAAAAAGTAAATCTGAAAAGGGGCAAATAGAAATACTAATGCTTCTACCAGGAGTAAATGATCCATAAAACAATGAGAAAATCTGGAAACACAGCATAAAGGGTATATTCACTAAACAGTGAATGGGGAGGAAAGCAACCCAGTGCTATATAGTAATAAAAGCATCAACCCAGGATTTACAGATTGAGGTGGTAACATTCCTAGTTAGTTATATATAATAGATACTATACAGCTATTGCAAAATGGATACAAAATGTTCCTAAAATCGTCCACAATGTATCAGCTGAAGATAGTGCAGTGCTATGAAGACGGCCAGGAGATTTGCTTGCTCTGCTGAAATAATCTAGTACGAGACAAATCCAAAACATGTAAAAATTCTGATACATGAAAATATTAAAAAATGCAGGACGGCTGGAGAGTGACGAACCTTCAGGAACAAGATAGTCACTTGCAGAAACAGCTTGAAGTTCAGATTAATCTACAATACAAAAGGCAGAGACATAATGTTCGTTGTTGTATTTTTATTTCCATAAAAATGAATAAAATACACCCACAGGAGGTGCATGTCAGTGTGACGACACATGGAGTCCAACTCCCATCAGTCACAGTACCCCCTCCTGATAGCCGGCTTTAGGAAAAGTCGAATGTTCCACTGAGCTGCAGCTGGGAAGTGTAACCAGATTTAGCCTTACGCATTTCGTGACTCTCCGGATCACTTCATCAGAGGCAAAGCATCTTCAGTTCAGTACGGCTGGGTTTTAACCTTATCTGGTTACACTTCACAGAAGACCTGCAGCTCAGTGGAACATTCATCCTGTACCCCCAGACTTTCCCCGAGGCACTGTGACTGATAGGAGTTGGACTCCACGAGATGTGTCACATTGACATGAACTTTTTGTGAGTGTATTTCATTCATTGTTTTGTAAATAAAAGTACAACAGAGAGCACAACAGTATGTCTCTGTCTTTTGTATTTTGTATTTATGCATCAAAACAAATTCAAATAAAACACTGACCGCAGACCACTCTTTCAAATACCTGGGTATGTTGTTAGACTCCAATCTATCTTTTGGCCTCCACATAGAAAAACTTGCATCTAAACTTTATCCAAAACTAGGTGCCCTGTACAGAAACAAATCCTGCCTAAGCCCTACAGTAAATGAAAAGATTGTATAGCAAATGCTGATGCCAATCATTGATAATGGGGATGTAGTATATGCATCTGCATCGCAATCCCACCTTAAACTTAATACATTGTATAACTCGCTCTGCCGATTTGTGCTACAATGTAATTACAGGACCCACCATTGTGACATGCTAAAAGAACTAAACTGGCTGTCGCTGGAATCCAGACGCACCCTTCATCTTTCCAACCTTGTGTTTAAGAGCTTTTCTGGGAGACTCCCCCCCTACCTGAGCAAAATGCTCTCCTCGGCTGTTCCCACTTCCTATAACCATCGATCCAGTACCAGCACTTTAGTCTACCTCAATACAAAAAGAAAGCAGCCCGATCCTCCTTTTCCTACAGAGCGCCGCAACTATGGAACGGCCTCCCGCACAATTTCAAATCTTCCCCAAGCCTAAAGTCCTTTTAAGAGATCCCTCTCTACATACCTCAAAACAGAATGCACCTGTCATGGTTGACTATATATTTCCTGCCTGTTCTATGTTACATTTTGTATATATTGTGTATTAATATTGTTTTTGTATTTTATTGTACCCTATTGTATCAATGCAATGTTTTGTGGACCCAGGACATACTTGAAATCGAGAGAAATCTCAATGTATCTTTCCTGGTAAAATATTCTATTTATAAATAAATAATCTGAACTTCAAGCTGTTTCTGCAAGTGACTGTCTTGTTCCTGAAGGTTCGTCACTCTCCAGACGTCCTGCATTTTTTAATATTTTCATGAACCAGAATTTTTACGTTTTGGATTTAAGTCTCGTACTAGATTATTTCAGCAGAGCAAGCAAGTCTCCTGGCTGTCTTCATAGCGCTGCACTATCTTCAGCTGATACATTGTGGACGATTTTAGGAACATTTTGTATCCATTTTGCAATAGCTGTATAGTATCTATTATACATAACCAACTAGGAATGTTACTACCTCAATCTGCAGATCCTCAGTTAATGCGTTTCGTATACTATATTGCACTGTTTAATGAATATACCCTTTATGCTGTGTTCCCATTTAGACTATCTCCCTATGCTATATATTTTTTACTCCTGGTAGAAGCGTTAGATTTTCTTTTGCCCTTTATATGAATAGAATGGATAGGATACAATGTGTGTAAAGTATAAATGTAGCTTTAAACAGGCTGTATTATCTGACTGTGATACTGAAAGCATTGCTTGTTCATCTACTTCACAAAGACTTGGACGAATGAGAAGGAGGCCTATGGAGGGAAGCAGTCTAGGCTTCATCTGAGCTGCAGAACAGTCCGGGGATCTTATTTATCTGATTAAGGTCTGGAGCTCCATTACTGTCCGGGGGTCTTATTTATCTGATTAAGGTCTGGAGTTGCAGCACTGTCTGGGGGTCTTATTTATCTGATTAAAGGGATCCTATAGTGTCAGGAAAACAGTTTTCCTGGCACTATAGGTTTAATAGGTTCCCTTCTCCCTCGGGGCCGCCCTCCTGCAGAGCTGAAGGGGTTAAAACCCCTTCAGCCACGTGACTAAATCCAGTGCCAATGTCCCTCGGTGCTATGTCAGGCTCCGCCCATGCTCCTCCCCCACCGACATCAGCATTATTCAATGCTTTCCTATCGGGAAAATCTGGACGTCCAGCGTCAGATAACCGACGAAAGGTTGGTTTGGATTCTGGAAGCCCTCTAGTGGGTAAGACAGCCACAGAGGGCAGACTTAGAGCCTGCAATGTAAACATTAGAGTTTCTCTGATACAATAACCAACATAAAACACTTGCCACAACTAGTTATGACCCAACAAATGCAATGTTTTATCTCTTTTGGGTAGTCATGGAGAAATGTTTTTATTATTATTACTGGCATTTATAAAGTACCAATACATTTCAGTGTTGTACAACTAGGGAACAAGACAGTACAATATACACAAACCCATACAAAAGGTAAAGAGGGACCTGCTGTGAGCCAAGGTCAAACCTGATAAGGAAATTGCAAAAATTAGGTCCAAACAGTCTGTAATACTTATTTAATTGGAACTCAACTGCAGAATTTTCTAGTTGCAGTAACTATAAGTTTCACCTCTTTTTATACTGATATGAAACAATGGTTACTGTATCTTTAAATACACATGCAGGAAGTTAATTGTGATTGAAGAAGAAATAAATGATGAATTGCACAAGCCACTTAATTCCCATTTAGAATTAATGCAGGAAAATAGGCAAAGATAGTTTCCAACTTAATTGAGATGGAATAATTTATGAGAAAATTATTAATGAAGCAGGTCAGGGTTACAATTAGTAATAATTTGATTATTGCAGAAAGAATTAGCCTTGGTAGTAGTCCCTTATGAATAAGAGGAATAACTTGACAAAATGACACTGTGTAATATAAGTAATAGGAATTGGCTTGTTTGGCAGAAGAGTTACTTAACTTAAAAAGCAGTTCTGGCACTGGAAGGGTTAATTCACCCAATGGAGGAGAAATTAGAAGTCCGTTTTAACAAGCCGAGGTCTAGGAGTGGAGAAGGTAGAATTCCGTGTTACAAGCCGAGGTCTAGGAGTGGAGAAGGTAGAATTCCGTGTTACAAGCCGAGGTCTAGGAGTGGAGAAGGTAGAAATCCGTTTACAAGCCGAGGTCTGGGAGTGGAGAAGGTAGAAATCCGTTTACAAGCCGAGGTCTGAAAAAAGGCAGGATCAAAGTAGAGCAGCTGATCTCTTTGCAGGCACCTGTGCAAATAATCCAGCCCTTTGAATCTGGCGCGGTCTTCCTAAGTATCGTGGAAGGACCGCGTCAGAAAAAGGGGCGGGGCTAAGCGCCGTGAACCCGGAAGTGGGTTCCGACGGCGGAATGTATGCCAGGCTATACCTGACACAGTCGAATTGTCAATTCTCCACAATTCATGTTTTAGTTAATGAATTGCCCAATATTTCCCAATGTCTAGGGTTACAAAACGCAATGCTCCCTGCTTTGTAATAACCTCTATACTTTATGTTCCTCTGTAATTGTAGTTTGCGCCCTGTATTCTCCAATATCAATACCCCTCTATACACTCTGCTAGATGATTCATTCTCTTTTAAACTTTTTGTCTATTTACGGCGTCCCGTCCCCCCCTGCCCCCCAGCTATTGCGTGCCTTGAGTAAGTGACAATAACGCTTAATTAAACCTAGACCTTTTCACTTTCATATATATATATATCTCATACACATGTAGGATTCACTACATCAGGAATTACGGGGTAAAAACCAATGAAATAGCAATATTATGGCAAATAAAATGTAAAAAAATAGGTAATGTGTCTCTTTATATATCTTCATGTCTTAAGGAACACTAGTTTATCCCATTTTATTTTTTATTTCTGGCATCCAACAAACCCCACCAAAAACCAGCCCCAGATTATGAAATATGAAATTTAAGCTTAAAAGAACACTCTATTGTCCAAATAAAAAGAAAAAAAATTAACATATCACTTGTTTCATTGGGGGCATTCCAATTCTGTGGCTGTCCAATCATAGACTTCCCAATGAGAAGTCTTTGCAAGGCAGTTACTGTGGACAATTGCTTCCACTTAAATGTTGCTCCATTGAGCTAAACATCCAGGAATTAACCGGACCTATTGTCTGATTGACAGCCAGCGGGGTGTAACCAGGTTAATTTATAAAAATGCCAATTTCTATTGAAATCTGAACTTTTTGTAAAATGAAAAAGGAAGACACACTCGTTACCCATAAAGCATTTCAACAACTGCATTAGGAGTCTGCAGTGTCCCTTTAACTAGACATTGTCTTAACCTAGTAGCAAATCCTAAATAGCAAATCAATTATCCACAGTAAAGTGTGTTAGCTGATAACTAAAGATAAGCAACGGGCTGTAAATCTACAGGAAATGTAAGAAGTTCTATTACTTAGTGAAAAGTGGTTCGAGAGGACAGTCTCAAACAGAGCCTGCAATCTTTACTCACAGGTGATACAAGTTATATCAGAGTCTTTTATTTCAGAGAAAGATCAAAATAAAACACAAATTTATAAAATAAGCACATTTTTACAACATGATCACAATCAAAGCACATTTTTGATTTACAATTCAATCACAGAACGTCATAAGACACCTTCCTAACATAACAAACAACTACTTGGCACAACTGACTATCCAAAATAAATTGCAGCAATTAAAGATAAATCGGGGTCGAGCTGCAGCTTTCCAGGACATTAGTGGCCAAATCTCTACACAGGCTGGTTAAAATTAAAATAATATGATGGGGCAATAAAACCAACTTTATTTTTGTGTTACAAACTGTTTACATTTTAGAATTTTTGTTATACTTTTAAACTTCAAATATAGAAATAAAGCATTGCTGATATTGGCATACATTCAAAACACAATTAAATTGTAGGAACTGTCAATTTGTCACATAATTAATTATGGTATTCCCGTAAAATATTTTGTAACATTGGGTGATACGTGATATTCTGAATATTACAACTTGTCCGGCAGCAGACAGTTTTCCAGATTTCAAAGCCAGGTGACTCGTACTTCCATATTAAAAGTTTAACTGCTGTAAAGAAAATCAGGTGATTATAGATAAAAAGAAGTTGGTACATTTCAGCTTTATCTATTGTGATTCAATCATGTTCTGTTATACTCTGCTTAGGGACACTATAACTACAAAAACAACTTTATCTTAATGAAGTCATTCTCTGTCATTTAGGAGTTAAATCACTTTGTTTATACAGCCCTAGTCACACCTCCCTGCATGTGACTTGCACAGCCTTTCTAAACACTTCCTGTAAAGAGTCATCTAATGTTTACACTTCCTTTATTGCTAATTCTGTCTAATTTAGAATTTCTTATCTCCTGCTCTGTTAATAGCTTTGCTAGACCCCCAGGAGCCTCCTCTGTGTGATTAAAGTTCATTTTACAGAGCAGTAGATAAAACATTTAAAGTTAACATCTAAAAGAAAGTGAAACCATTTCGTGTTCATGCAGGCTGTCAGTCACAGCCAGGGGAGGTGTGGCTAGGACTGCATAAACAGAAACAAAAGTGATTTAACCCCTTAAGGACTGAGCCAAATGTACACGTTTTGATCAATATAAAACGTAAACAAAACTTGGAATTTGACTATATGTCTGTTCAATCGTAATTGCCCTCTTTCATATTAAGTGCACCCCCACTTATTATATATCATTATATTTAGGAGAAATAGGGCTTTCATTCAACATCAAATATTTAGCTATAAAACATAATTTAATATGAATAAAATATAAAAAAAATGTGAGATTAAGAAATGTTACTTTGTTTTAGTTCTGCATGACATTTTAACTGTGAATGTCACAATACTGTTTGCATTTACTACAATAAAATACTAATATTTGTATTCAGCGATGTCTGTAAAACAGTACCCTCTATGTACAGGTTTTATGGTGTTTTGGGAAGTTACAGGGACAAATATAGCATGTTACATTTTTCACATTGAAATTAGCCAGATTGGTTATGTTGCCTTTGAGACTGTATGGTAGCCCAGGAATGAGAATTACCTCCCATAATGGCATACCATTTGCAATAGTAGACAACCCAAGGTATTGCAAATGGGGTATGTCCAGTCTTTTTTAGTAGCCACTTGGTCACAAACACTGGTCTCAAAGGCAATGTAACCAATCTGACGAATTCAATGTGAACAAAACTGACACGCAAGCCTTATATTTGACTCTAACTTTTGAAAACACCATAAAAAATGTACACGAAGGGTACTGTTCTACTCGGGAGACTTCGCTGAACAGAAATATTAGTGTTTCAAAACCGTAAAACGTATCACAACAATTATATTGTCAGCGTAAGTGCCGTTTATGTGTGAAAACGTAAACAATTTCACTTTCACTGATGATATCATCAATGTAATACATTTTACTGTTTTGAAACACTAATATTTGTGTTCAGCAATGTCTCCTGAGTAAAACAGTACCCCCCATGTACAGGTTTTATCGTGTCTTGGAAAGTTACAGGGTTAAATATAGTGCTAGCAAATTAAATTCTCTGGACTTACCCGCAAATTGTAATTAATAAAATGACTTAATTATGTAAAAATATTTCATAAATATATATGTAGAATTAAAAATTTTTTTTATATGTAAGTGTATATATATATATGTGTATGTATGTATATATGTATGTGTGTATATATATATATATATATATATATATATATATAATATATATTTTTTTTAATTCTTTACGGATTTATATATTTTATATTATATAGATATTAAATATATATATATATAATTATATATCTATCATTCTACATGTATTTTGATATTAATGTATTTATAATTATATCTATATTAATATTAAAATACACTTAGACTGTGTAAGTGTGTGTGTGTGTGTGTGTGTGTATAAATATATATACATACTTAGATCATATATGTATATAATTTTACAGTTTTAACTTTTATTTAACTTTTTTTCAGGCAGAAGGGGGACTACCTGTCATTCCAGGCATCCCCCTGCTGGCACTGCTATGGATGGCTATTCCGTCCATGTGATCGTGAGGTCCTCGCAAGGTCCTTGCGATCACATGGCCCAGAAGGGCCGGATCGGCAGCAGGGGGACTCCCTAAGATGCCAGGTAAGTTCCCCCATTGCGATCGCCTGTGAGCAGGTAAGTCCCCTGGATGCCGTCCTTAAGGGATTAACTCCTAAATGGCAGAGAATTGAGCAAGACTTCAGAGGCTTGATCTATACACCAAAACAGCTTCATTAACATAATGTGTGTTTATGCAAAGTTGTGATGGTCCTTGGAGTGATCCATTGAAGCAGGTCTGTTTCTAGTAAGAATGATTTATAATTGATCAGTTGCTAATTTACTGATAAATAATTTACAGTAGTCATCTGTTTGCTTTCTTATATTTAGATAGTGAGCCAATGTTCTCTAATTTTCTATTTTCTCAGAAAGAATGTCAACACAGAGAGTTCCCTCATGGAAACGCAGGATCATTGTTTGCTTAGAGAAAAAAACTGACACATCTATATGTAGGACATTTTATCTATACTAAAAAAAATCTACTGAAACTAGTTTAGTAAAACCCACTTATATATTGAGTGTGCATTCTTAAAAACAGTAAACCAATTTTTATATTTATTTATTTAATAAGATATTGATAATTTAGGTTAAAGTGCCTGCTCAGGGACAGTTTCCTCCCTTTAAATACTTTAATGCGGTTGCATTTACCTACCCTGGAATATAGAGACCTGGCCACAGTTGCATCCTTAAAGAGTTACTTAAAGTATCCTAACCTCTACAGCCCGCTGAACCCAGGAATATCCTGGCCCTTGTTACCGGTAATGCGGCGAGCCATTATGCAACGGCTTGCCCACTTAGCTGGGTCCTCGCTGGATGCCGAATTTCATACAGTGGCCAATGATGACATCCTGCTTCTGCAGCGCAGCAGAAGCCAGAATATGATCCCGCCGGCCACTTTTTATAAAGGAGGGTTTATTCTGCATCAGGAGGTTTTCTTTTGGTCTTGGTTTTACAGCGTTTTCCCACCATTTAGTACATCCTCCTTTTTCCCTTTTTTTGTTTAAATGGACCAGTACAGGTTTGCTTTACCCTCTAGAAAATAAATAAAAATCACTGTTTAGTAAATATACCTCTAATGAAACCATGCACATCTTAAGTTATGCATTTTTATTTCCATTGGGGTAAATCTAAAAACAGCTTGTAAAAGCTGCAGTTCTCTTGTCTGCAGCCTCTGCAAGCCCTCCCCTTCTAGCCCCGCCACTATCCAATCACAGACATCATAATGCAGCTCAATGGGAAGTCTTTGCAAGGCAGGTGCTCTGTGCAGTTGCTGCCTCTTGAGTTGATCTTCACTGAGCTAAACCATGGGTCGTCAACCTGGTCCCTACCGCCCACTAGTGGGCGTTTCAGGATTCCAGGTTGGTGGTAGGGATTTCGGCGGCTAAATCTTCTTTTTGAGAGGATTTCTCCTTTTTAGAGTGGGCGGGTGTGAGCAGCTTGGGGCACAAGATTCCAGTGACCGGCAGGAGGGAAGCGCTCCCTACTGCCAGGCCACCTTCTGGACCCCCCGGCGGGGCAGAGTTCTAATTCAAGGCGGCGAGGGAGCTCTAACCTCTCTGCTACCACGCGCGATGTTTGCTGATGCCGCGGGAGCCGGAATATGGCTTCATATTCCGGCTCCTGGCATCAGTAGACAGCTCGCGAGGGAGCAGAGCAGAGAGGTTAGAGCACCCTTGCCGGCTCGGATTAGAACTCTGCCGCCCGCCGAAGTGAAGCCCCACTGGACCCTAGGGACAGATCCACACCAGCTCTCCAAGTAGAGAGGATGGGTGGACATTTAATATTAATAATTTGTGTGTCTGTAAGTGTGTGTGTATGTGTTTCTCTGTGAGTGTGTTTCTCTGTGAGTGTGTTTCTCTGTGAGTGTGTTTCTCTGTGAGTGTGTTTGTCTGTGAGTGTGTTTGTCTGTGAGTGTGTGTATGTGTGAGTGTGTGTATGTGTTTGTCTGTGAGCAGAGTAATTGTAAAAAGGAGAAAGAAGGAGCAGAATACTTGTAAAAAAGAAGAAAAAGGAGAGAATTGTTGTTGGCTAGTAATAGTAAGGGGGCTACTTAGCTCAGCCTTCCTACTGGGCATTGCTATAAGGAAGGTTAAAAAAATAGAAAAGAGGGGAATTGAGAAGGGAGAGGAGGGGAGCTGACACACAAATCATATTATGAGCAAACAGAGAAATCGTCTGAATATCACCAAAAGAGGAGACCTTAATTTGTTCCTTACGAAAATCGAACCAGATATCAAATATTTAGTCTTGCAGCATCAACCTCAAGGATCTCATTAATCACTAGTAAAGGTAATTTCAATTTACTTTATTGTTTTCTCATTAAACGTTATAAAGCTATAAACATGCATTAAGTAGAAATAAAAAGATAAATGTACATACATTTTATTTTTTATTAAACACCCTCCTTTCTAAAAAAATATTCTGCACTTGCGCAAAAACTGGTGGGCGGTAAGGAAATTTTTCCATCAAGAAAGATGCATTAGTGGGCGGTAGGTAGAAAAAGGTTGACCACCACTGAGCTAAACAAACCACAAATTTGTGGAAAGGTCGTCTGTTTGACAGTCGGGTGGGGTGTAACAAGGTTAATTTATAAAAGTGTCAATATCTATTGAAATCTATTTTTGCAAAACGAGGAGAGAGGACACACCCTTCACACAAAACATTTCAGCAAGCTAAAGTGCTTTATGGGTCTGGATTTCATTTACATCCCAACACAGTAAAAATTATGATTTCTTAAAGATTCTATCTTAATGAAACACAAATTTTTCAGGCGGTGGGTGACCGTACTGCCTTCAATATTTTAGAGCAGCAAATGATCCGTTTTGGATGGAGTGTGACTGCTAAATTTTCCGATATTTGAACCAAGGCATCGCAAGGTTGGGGGTGCTGTTGTCAAAGTGTGTTTTGTGAAATTAAAGTGCAATTTGAGTGTAACACAAAGCGTGGTAGCAACAAAACAAGTCATGTGCAGAGCATTATAAAAAAAAAAAACAGAGTGAGGAAGATAGACAGATCTCTAACATTAGGCAGAAAGAGACTAAGCAAGTTTATAAGAGCTTCCAAATCACACACAGAAGAGAAAATAGCTCAGTCAGTATAAAGGGGGATACAACATTTTTTAGATACATAAATGAGAAAAGGAAAGTAAAACAATGATTAGTTAGAAAACAAACGAAGGAAGGAAGGTATACAAAATAAGTGGAAGGAAATGGTCCTCATTTAGGAAAAAGGATAAATTAGTTTCATGTGAGTTTACAGAGGATATTAGCGAATTTTGTGCCAATTCACAAGTAAGCTAATAGGGAGGAGTCGGCAACTATAGGCCAGTAAGCCTTACTTCAGCAGTGGGGAAAGTAATGGAAACCATGTTAAAGGATAGGATTGTTGGACATCTAAAATCACATGGATTTCAAGATCAGAGACAACATGGGTTTACTTCAGGGAGATCATGCCAAACTAATCTTATTGATTTTTTTTTTGATTGGGTAACTAAAATTATAGATCAGGGTGGTGCAGTAGACATTGCTTACCTAGATTTCAGTAAGGCTTTTGACACTATTGCATATAGAAGGCTTATCAATAAATTGCAATCTTTTAGTTTGGATTCCAATATTGTTGAATAGGTAAGGCAGTGGCTGAGTGACAGTCAATGGAGTATATTCGAAGCTTGGGCTTGTCACCAGTGGGGTACCACAGGGATCTGTACGTGGACCCATTCTCTTTAATATTTTTATTAGTGATATTGCAGAAGATATTGATGGTAAGGTATGTCTTTTTGCTGATTCTTGTTACAGGAAGGATAAGCGAAATTATAAATTATTTAGGTAAACTAGAAAAATGGTCAGAGTTGTGGCAACTGATATTTAATGTGGATAAGTGCAAGATAATGCATTGTTGACGTAAAAACCCAAGGGCAGAGTACAAAATATTTCATAGAGTCCTAACCTCAACATCCGAGGAAAGGGATTTAGGGGTGATTATTTCTGATGACTTAAAGGTAGGCAGACAATGTAATAGAGCAGCAGGAAATGCTAGCAGAATGATTGGTTGTATAGGGAGAGGTATTAGCAGTAGAAAGAGGGAAGTGCTCATGCCATTGTACAGAACACTGGTGAGACCTCACTTGGAGTATTGTACACAGTACTGGAGACCGTATCTTCAGAAGGATATTGATACCTTAGAGAAGGTTCAGAGAAGGGCTACTAAACTGGTTCATGGATTGCAGGATAAAACTTACCAGGAAAGGTTAAAGGATCTTAACATGTATAGCTTGGAGGAAAGACGAGACAGGGGGGATATGATAGAAACATTTAAATACATAAAGGGAATCAACACAGTAAAGGAGGAGACTATATTTAAAAGATGAAAAACCCACAACAAGAGGACATAGTCTTAAATTAGAGGGGCAAAGGTTTAAAAATAATTTCAGGAAGTATTACTTTACTGAGAGGGTAGTGGATGCACGGAATTGCCTTCCAGCTGAAGTGCCATCACATTCTATGTTTCATATGCTTAATTATTTTCACTTATATTGACTACTCTAAAAAATAAGTCGTTATTTGTCGCCCTCTAGTGTTAATTTACTTTATTATTATTATTATTATTATTATTATTATTTTTGGTTCAATCCTTAGATGGGTAACCAGTCGATAAATGATATATTGGCCTTCACATTATCTGATTTTGCGTTATGCATGCCTATTATTTCATTATGCATGACTGAGTTTCCGTGAGGTTCAGATCAGTATCGCAGCACCACACACCCCTGTGCCTGTGTCAGGATTATAATATTAAGAAGCACCCACTCCTTCTCAAATCGGCATGTGGAAGCAATGTGGGACCGAGTGGCACTTACTACGGGCTGCGTTACCAGATAGATCAGGGGTTCCCAACCCAGTTCTCAAGTACCACCTACCAGTCCAGGATTTAGGGATTAACCTGTTCTTCCTTTCCCCTTCCCTTTCCTTTTTCCTTTTTCCCTTTTAAATTCACAATATATTCATTCTATATTTTATATAATCTTTTCTATATTAACCAATATATATGGTCTGCATTTTCTTTGGAAGATGGGATGCTGCACTCAATGGTGTTTTTATTGTAGTACTATTTAATCCTATTGACCCCTGTATGTTTCACTCCAGAGTCTGTGGACCATATTACCACATTTATATCTCATTTTTAGGCACTGTATTAATATTAATATTGTTACTGAACATTGCTAACAAAAGGCTACTGCATATTATTTTTTCACACTTCAGTTAAAGGGACACTATAATCACCAGAACAACTACAGATTATTGTATTTGTTCTGGTGGGTATAGTCAGTCCCTGCAGGGTTATTTAATGTAAACACTGCCTTTTCAAATAGGAACAGGAGGGCTAAATTGTTAGTTTAGCACTAAAGGTCAAGAATACATGTTTGTGCTCCTGACCCTATAGTGTTCCTTTAAGTGATCAACTTGCAGTTTGGGACTGGTTAGCAACGGTTGTTGGCTGAGACTGTTTCTAAAGCAGCTTGTTTGATGAACTTATTTTATATTTTTGATTCATAGCTGAAAACAGACAAGCGTCCATCAAGTTCAGCCTTTCCCACATTTGTTTTTGCTGTTGATCCAAAAGAAGGCAAAAAAGCCAGGGTGAAGTGCATTTAAAAAAAAATCCTTCTTGACCACAGAATGGCAATCAGATATCTTGTTGGATCAAGAAGCTATTACCCCACTAATAAAAAAAATTATATCCGTGTATATTATGTTTTTGCAAGTATTCATCCAGTTTCTGTTTAAACACCTTTACAGACTCTGATAAACCACCTCTTCAGGCAGAGAAATACACATCCTTATAGTTTTTACTGTAAATATACCTTTTCTTTGCCTTAGACTAAATTTCCTTTATTCCAGTCTAAATGCGTGACTTCGTGTCCTGTTTATGAACAGATTTCCACACAATGGTTTGTATTGGCCCAGAATATATTTGTATAATGTTATCATATCCCATCTGAGCTGCCCTTTTTCCAAACTAAAGAGGTTTACATTTGTTAACCTTTCTTCATAACTAAAATGTTCCATTCCTTTTATTCAATTTGGCACACTTTTTCTAGTGCCAGAATACCCTTCCTTAGAACAGGTACCTAGAATAGCACAGCATATTGAAGGTGTGCTCTTTATAAAGAGGCAGAATTATATTTTTATCCCTAGAATTAAGGCCCCTATTTATACATGACAAAACCTTACTGCCTTTAGAACTGCTGATTGACATTGCACATTGTTGCCTAGTTTGTTGTCTATATTCTTAAATCCGTCCCATGTGTTGTTTACCTAAGTCATTACTATTTAGGGTCTAAGTTGCCTGTGCATTCTTTAACCCAAAGTGCATAACTTTGCATTTATCTACGTTCCAGACCATCTGCCATTTGAGTGCCCAGTTCCCCAGTCTATCTAAATCCCACTGCAATATCCTGCTCACATTGTATTACTTTACAAAGTTTGTGTTATCTGCAAACACTGACACGTGCACTCGTTGCCATCCCCTTTTATTTTGGCTTCGATTCTCACATGTTTGTATTTGTTTATTAGTCCTTTGATGTGTTGATAAAAATAATTTATTTATATTCTCCATTTTACTGTATCTTGTAATTTAATTTAATTTGTTATTTGGATGATATGTTTATGAGCTTTTTCTGAATATTCTACGTACATCAATTAGCATTTTATCAGTGTTTGGAAATGCTTCTAGATGTTATTAATAGTGATGTCGCGAACATAAAATTTTCGGTTCGCGAACCGCGAACGCGAACTTCCGCAAATGTTCGCAAACCGGGCAAACCCGGCGAACCGCCATAGACTTCAATAGGCAGGCGAATTTTAAAACCCACAGGGACTCTTTTTGGCCACAATAGTGGTTGAAGGAGACCTACTCTCCTCCCCCCCCCAGCCCCCAACCCTGGGTGGCGGGTGGGGGCCATAAAGATAATGAGGGGGGGACCTACTGTCCTCCCCCTCTCCGGCCCCCACCCCTGGGCGGCGGGTGGGGGCCATAAAGATAATGAGGGGGGGACCTACTGTCCTCCCCCTCTCCGGCCCCCACCCCTGGGCGGTCAGTGGGGGGCCATAAAGATAATGAGGGGGGACCTACAGTCCTCCCCCTCTCCAGCCCCCACCCCTGTGCAGCGGGTGGGGGCCCTAATAACAATAAGGGGGGACCTATTGTCCCCCCGGCCCCCACCCCTGAGCGGTGGGTGGGGGCCCTAAATACAAAGGGGGGACCCTAGTCACCCCTCCCCCCCAAAAAAAATGATCTCCCTACCTACCCCCCTCACCCTAAAAATAATGAGGGGGGACCTTTAACTAAAAACCTGTAAAAAAAAAAATTAGATAAAAATAACTTACCATTTGATGTTTTCTTTCTTCTACAATCTTCTTTTTTCAGCCCCAAAAAAGGCCAAATAAAAAGCCAAAAGAACCGACGCAATTAAAAAAAAAAAAAAAAGTTGGCTGGTTTAAGCCAATCACAGTGCTCTGTGTCATTTTACACAGCGTGGGAAAGGTCTTTTGAATTTTTCCACGCTGTGTAAAATGACAAAGAGCACTCTGATTGGCTTAAACCAGCCAATCAGAGTGTTCTTAGCCTAATTGCAGGGCGTGGCAAGGCTTTATAAACCTTCCCCCGCCCTGCAGAGCTCAGTCTGCGCGGAGCCCTCCATGGGTGAAGATGGATTATTTTTTTGTGCGCTCGTTTTTTTTTTTTTTGTTTTTTTTTTAATTGCGTCGGTTCTTATGGCTTTTTATTTGGCCTTTTTTGGGGCTGAAAAAAGAAGATTGTAGAAGAAAGAAAACATCAAATGGTAAGTTATTTTGATATAATTTTTTTTTTACAGGTTTTTAGTTAAAGGTCCCCCCTCATTATTTTTAGGGTGAGGGGGGTAGGTAGGGAGCTCATTTTTTTTGGGGGGGGAGGAGGGGTGACTAGGGCCCTCCCCCTTTGTATTTAGGGCCTCCACCCACCGCTCAGGTGTGGGGGTCGGGGGGGACAATAGGTCCCCCCCTTATTGTTAATTTTAGGCCCCCCACCCACCGCTGTTAAATAGACATGCCCCTACTCGCGGTATTGCGAGTAGGGGCACAATTTACTAATACTAAGTAATTTTTACTTAGTATTAGTAAATTAATAGCGGGCGGACCGAACATCGCATATGTTCGCTGTCCGTGGCGAACGTGAACACGCTATGTTCGCCGGGAACTATTTGCCAGCGAACCGTTCGGGACATCACTAGTTATTAATAAATTGACTCAGTTCCTGATACATTTCAAAGTTTTCTCTTTTTTGTATATTTTGCTGTGTAGCATTTCAGGAGTTTCACATTGACTCCTTTTAGATAGTGGGTAATTTCATGAGATTCCCAGATTAATTTGCCATCATGTTCGCCCGTCCTTTCTGCTCACGACTACTTACTGTGGGGATATCTGCAGGAGTGGGTGTATGACAACAAACCGCGTACACTTGAGCAGCTCACCGAGAATATCCGTGCAGAAATTTGAGCGCTAGTGTCTCAAACATTAACTTATGTTATGATCGAAAGAGTCCGACTTTGCGAGGTGGCAAATGGAGCTCATCTAAAAGATGTCATATTCTGTACTTAGTCAAACAAATCTCCATACGTACGTTAACATTCATTGAATGTAATATCCTTAAAATTGGTTCATCAATAAAAAGCTATTGACTCCTCAAACCCTACTCTGAATCCCCCCTGTGACGGAACGCTGGCACTCCGACTGAGTACCTCCGCCAATCGATGCTCCTAGTGCTTGCTGAGGACTCCAAGCACTCCAACCGACACCATCAGCACTGCGGACCCCACTTCCAGCGATGCAGCTGTCAGGGTCTCGCCGTCTTCACCCACCCTAGGCCAGGATCCAGCTTCCAGTGGGTGAACCTCTCTTTCCCCAGAGAGCATAACAGGAACAGAACAGCTCTTACAAGAGCTCAGTGATTATAGCAAGAGAGTATGACGAGCATAGTAATCCATTGTAGTCGATTCCCCCAATAAGAGACAGGACTCAGATTGAGGGTGAAGAAGAACTACCAATCAAAACATTACAACACAGCTAAATACTCCCATTCATTCCATCAGAAATCCTCCCCTCTGCCTGTGATACAATTATCTCAACACAAAAGACTAACTTAATTATCACAGGCAGAAAATATACAGTTTTTACTAAATATTAATAACTTCCAAAATATACATGCCATTCACATAAAACATACTCAAAAATCAGGGCGATCGGTTCAAGGGTTAAAAAGTTACGTGAAGGTCCCTTCAAT